ATTCCTCAATATACTTGCTTTCACTTTATTCTGTGGCCTCGCCCCCAGATTCTTTCTTCTGCAATATCCAAGAACCTTCTCTTAGGGTCTGGATCAGGACACCTTTCCAGTTACACAGTCATGTGGTAGGCAAGATGCTGGCACACTGGCTGGCATCCTTACTCACCATTGAATGACAGATTGATGGCCTCCAGGTAGTTTCCTTGTGCTGAGGTAGAATTGTCTCCTTGAGGAAAGCCCTCTGAAGCAAAATACACAAGAGAAAGAAAAACATTTCACGAAAGATGAACTCTCTCTTTTTTTTTTTTTTTGAGACAGAGTCTTGCTCTGTTGCCCACGCTGGAGTGCAGTGGTGCGATCTTGGCTCACTGCAATCTCCACCCCCCAGGTTCAAGCGATTCTCTTGCCTCAGCCTCCCGAGTAGCCGGGACTACGAGCATGTGCCACCAAGCAAGGCTAATTTTTGTATTTTTAGTAAAGACAGGGTTTCACCATATTGATCAGGCTGGTCTTGAACTCCTGACCTCGTGATCCGCCCGCCTTGGCCTCCCAAAGTGCTGGGATCACAGGTGTGAGCCACCGCACCCGGCCCAAAGATGAACTCTTAAATAAGTGGTGGCTGAGCATGGTGGCTCACGCCTGTAATCCCAGCACTTTGGGAGGTGGAGGCAGGAAGATCGCTTAAGATGAGGAGTTTGAAACCAGCCTGGTCAACACAGTGAGACTCTGTCTCTACAAAAAATGAAATAATTATCTGGGCATGGTAGTGTGTGCTTGTCGTCCTAGCTACCCAGGAGATGGAGGCAGGAGGATTGCTTGAGCCCTAGGGGTTTAAAGTTAAAGTACGACTGCTCTACTCCAGTGCAGCCTAGATGACAGAGTGAGATCCTGTCTCAAAAAAAAAAAAAAAAAAAAAGTGGAAGGCATCTGGCTCCACAAGGCCTCACTACCTGTATGAGGGACACTGTTGAACTTATCGCATAACAAAATGTACAATTGGGATCCAACTGGAAACAGAAACCTGATCAAAAGCCGAAACTGCACACAGCCATGGGAGAGATATAAGCACAAATCTCTCCTCTGTCTCCCAGACTCTTCCTACACTTCCTGTCCCACCGCACCTTCTATTACATGAAAGCAGTACCTGCCTGTTCCAGTCGCACCAACACTGGATACTGGATGAAGAGTTTTTTAATGGTCACGAGAAGTGAAGTCCATTCTTCTCTTCTCTCATTCTGCACCACCACTCTGAAAAGAGTATTATCATAAAAAGGATATTGAGCAGCTGATATGGTTTGGCTCTGTGTCGCTCCCAAACTGCATCTCAAATTGTAATTCCTATGTGTCAAGGGAGGAACCTAGTGGGAGGTGATTGGATCATGGGGGCGGTTTCCCCCACGCTGTTCTTGTGATAGTGAGGGAGTTCTCATGACATCTGATGGTTTAAAAGGGGCACTTTCCCCTGTGCTTGCTCTTTTTCCTGCTTCACCATGGTAAGACGTGTCTTGCTTCCCCTTCGCCTTCCACCGTGATTGTAAGTTTCCAGAGGCCTCCACAGCCATGCAGAACCATGAGTCAATTAAATCTTTTTTCTTTATAAATTACCCAGTCTTGGGTATGTCTTTATAGCAGTGAGAAAATGGACTAATACAGCAACTTTAAATACAGAACATCAGGTTCCTTACAAGGTTTCAAAAAGAGTGTAATTGGAGTACAGTGAGCCAGGATCACACCACTGCACTCCAGCCTAGGTGAAAGAGCGAGACTCTGTCTCAAAAAACAAACAAAAAAAAGACTCAGTGAGCTTATTTTTCTGCCAATCCAATTGGGAAAGAAGCGTTAAAAAAAAGATACTGGGTGCAGTAGCTCATACTTGCAATTCCAGCACTTTAGGAGGCTGAGGCAGGTGGATAAAGAGGTCAGGAGTTCAAGACCAGCCTGGCCAACATAGTGAAACCCCGTTTCTACTAAAAATACAAAAATTAGCTGGGTATGGTGGCAGGCACCTGTAATCCCAGCTACTTGGAAGGCTGAGGCAGGAGAATCACTTCAACCCAGGAGGCAGACGTTTCAGTGAGCTGAGATCGAGCCATTGCACTCCAGGCTGGGAGACACAGCGCAACTCCCTCTCAAAAACAAAAAACAAAAAAACAAAAAAAAACCTTCAGTGTTGGTGAGGACACAGAAATTGCTGCTAGGAAAACAGGATCTTCTACTTTAATGGAGGGTACATTGGCTGTACAAATAGCCTTTACAACACAGACCATCCTTTGACCTAATAGCTCCATTTCTGGGAATTTATAATAAAAACTAAAGATATGCTTAAAAACTTATCTGTAAGAATGTTCACTGGCAATACTGTTGAGAATAGCGAAAAGCTGGAAGTCACCTCAATTTTTAACAATACTAACCCAATGTAATTTCTACTTAGAAATAAAAAATGATACAGTGGGCTGGGTGCAGTGGCTCACGCCCATAATCCCAGCACTGTGGGAGGCCAAGGTGGGCAGATCATGAAGTCAGGAGATCGAGAGCATTCTGGCTAACATGGTCAAGCCTGTCTCTACTAAAAAAAAAAAACAAAAAAATTAGCCAGGTATGGTGGCTGACGCCTGTAGTCCCAGCTACTTGGGAGGCTGAGGCAGGAGAATGGTGCGGACCCAGGAAGCAGAGCTTGCAGTGAGCCGAGATCATACCACTGCGCTCCAGGCTGGGCAAAAGAGTGAGACTCTGTCTCAAAACAAAAAAGATACTATAGAAGTAGGGTGTTTAACATGGATTGGCATTTGTGACAAAGTAGAAAATGAATGTTTATGGCTGGGCACGGTGGCTCACGCCTGTAATCCCAGCATTTGGAGAGGGCAAGGTAGGGGGATCACCTGAGGTCAGGAGTTCGAGACCAGCCTGACCAACATGAAGAAACCCCGTCTCTACTAAAAATACAAAATTAGCTGGGTGTGGTGGTGCATGCATGTAATCCCAGCTACACGAGAGGCTGAGGCAAGAGAATCGCTTGAACCTGGGAGGCGGAGGTTACGGTGAGCTGAGATGGTGTCACTGCACTCCAGACTGGGCAATAAGAGCAAAACTCCGTCTCAAAAACAAAAAAGAAAAAGAAATAAAATTAAGGTTTAAAACACATAAAAAGGGAACCATGTGGGCCGGGCGCGGTGGCTCACGCCTGTAATCCCAGCACTCTGGGAGGCCGAGGCAGGCGGATCACCTGAGGTCAGGAGTTCGAGACCAGCCTGGCCAACATGGTGAAACCCAATCTCTATTAAAAATACAAAAATTAACCGGGCATGGTGGTGGGTACCTGTAATCCCAGCTACTCAGGAAGCTGAGGCAGGATAATCACTTGAACACGGGAGGCAAAGTTTGCAGTGAGTTGAGATTGCACCACTGCACTCCAGTCTGGGTGACAGCAAGACACTGTCTCAAAAAGAAAGAAAAACAATAAAACACGTAAAAAAATCACATGGAGGCCTGGCATGGGTGGATCACCTGAGGTCAGGAGTTCAAGACCAGCCTGGCCAAGATGGTGAAACCCCGTTTCTACTAAAAATACAAAAATTAGCCTGGCGTAACGGTGGACGCCTGCAATCTCAGCTACTCCAGAGGCTGAAGCAGGGAATTGCTTGAACCCAGGAGGTGGAGGCTGCAGTGAGCCAAGACTGCACCACTGCACTCCAGCCTGTGCAACACAGCAAGACTCCCTCTCAAAGAAAAAAAAAAAAACACATGCAATTTGCGATCATATCTCGTGAAAACTAATTTTTCTCCTACATACAGATAATAAGGGTTGATTTACCAACATAATGAAGACTGTATTCTGGAGATGGAATTGAGTGTGCTTTGAATTCCTCTCTACTTAACTATACTTTGGTGTGCTTTTATAGTTGTTGTTGTTGTTTTTTTTTCTGAGACAGGGTATCACTATGTCACTCAGCCTAGAGTGTAGCGGCACGATCTTGGCTCGCTGCAGACTCGACTTCCAAGGCTCAAGTAATCCTCCCAAATAGCTGAAACTACGGGCACGCACCACCGTGCCCAGCTAATTTTTTGCATTTTTTGTAGAGACAGGATTTTTCCATGTTGACCTGGCTGGTTTCAAACTCCTGAGCTCAGGCAATGTGCCTGGCTCGGCTTCCCAAAGTGCTGGGATTATAGGCATCAGCCACCACGCCTGGCCTATTTTGTGATTTTCCTAAAATGAACCTGTATTGTTTCTGCAGTAAGAAAAAGATAACCAGTTTCTCTCAGTAAGAAAAAGATAGCCAGTTTCTCTCAATCTAAAAAATGTTGAGGATGACTTTGTAATGACATAAACTTTCATATATTAAAAATATATAGTCACATACACCTAAAAATCTACATTCGTAATTCACACATTCATGCCTTATATAGTACTTTCTATAACTGATTATGCTCAAACTAATTCATATTCATTATACAGATAAAACTTCATATACTGTTAAGCCAAAAGAGCTCTCATGGTTCCTGGAATTCACTGAATTAGAGGTATGCAGAATTCATCTGCATAAGGGGATGAGTGGAGGTGTCAGCACAGCACAGGGCCCATCACTTTCATAAAATTCTCCAAGGGGTACAGGATCCAACAGAAGATGAACAAATAATCTAAAGTATAATCCGTATAAGGCTGAGGAATACAGTGGTCAAAAAGCAGAGACTCTGAACTAGATTGACTATGTCAAGTCCACACTCCACTGCTTAATATGTTATGGACTTTGGATAAGTTACTGAAACTCTGTGTCCAAGTTTCCACATCTGTAAAATGGGGTAACAGTATCTATCCCATAGGGATGCCGGGATATTTAAATGAATCAAGTCATGTAAAGTGCTTAGAAGAGTAACTCATTCATGCTAAGTCCCGACAAAACAGTAACTATTACTATCTGATTACCATCTCAATAAGATAGTGGTGTCAGCCGAGCGTGGTGGCTCCGGCCTATAATTGCAGCACTTTGGGAGGCCAAGGCAGGTGGATGACCTGAGGTCAGGATTGGAGACCAGGCTGGCCAACATAGCAAAACCGCATCTCTAACAAAATTTTTAAAAAATTAGCCAGGCATGGTCGCGGGTGCCTGTAGTCCCAGCTACTTGGGAGGCTGAGACACGAGAATCCCTTGAACCTGGGAGGCGGAGTTTGCAATGAGCTTACATGACCACTGCACTCCAGCCTGGGCGACAGAGTGAAACTGTGTCTCAGAAAAGAAAAAAAAAAAAAGGGCCAGGCGTGGTGGCTCACGCCTGTAATCCCAGCACTTTGGGAGGCGGAGGCGGGCAGATCATGAGGTCAGGAGATCGAGACCACCCTGGCTAACATGGTGAAACTCCATCTCTACTAAAAATACAAAAAACAATTAGCCAGACGTGGTGGCGGGTGCCTGTAGTCCCAGCTACTCAGGAGGCTGAGGCAGGGGAACGGCGTGAACCCAGGAGTTGGAGCTTGCAGTGAGCCGAGACTGTGCCACTTCACTCCAGCCTGGGCGACAGGGAGACTCCGTCTCAAACAAAAAAATAATAATGTTAAACATAATAATGATATTCTGATCAGATATAAAAATGCCTTTTTTGAATATGTATAGGAATAAAATGTTACAATATTGATAATTTACTTAGTCGGTGGCACTGAAAAAACCAGATGAATTAAATATGACAAAATAATAACTGTTAAATTCAGATATTGGGTATACGGACTCATTATATTATTTGTTCTTTTCTGAATGTTGAAGTTTTTCACAATAGAACATTTAGAAGGTCTAAATGCAATGTGGTATCTTGGATTAGACATGGCAAGTACACGAGTGCTAAAATCTGAAAAACGTCTGAATTTACTTAACAGTAATGTACCAATGTTAACCTAGTTTTCACAAATGTAACTTGGTTATGAAATGTTAACATTAGAGGAAACAGAGCAAAGAGTATACAGGAACTGTACTACCTTTGAAACTTCTCTGTAAATCTAAAGTCATTTCAAAATCAAAAGGTTTATTTATTCTTTTTTGTTTGTTTGTTTTTGGAGACAGGGTCTCTCTCTCCCCCACGTTAGGGTGCAGTGGTGTGATCTCAGCTCACTGCAACCTCCACCTCCCAGGCTCAAGTGATCCTCCCACCTCAGCCTCCCAAGTAGCTAGGACAACAGGTGGCTAATTTTTTTGTATTTTTGGTACAGGGTTTTGCCACGTTGCCCAGGCTGGCATTTTTTTAAGTTAGGAAAGAAACAACTAATAAATAAATAAAAAGTATAGGAAAGCACGCAAACATACTTGTAAAAGTCTTCATAGAATCTCCCCTTATGATCCTGTCGAATTGAGGCTCGGTTTATCTCAGGAAATTCATCTGAAATAGAAAAAATGGAGTATGTAGTTCAGGTTGAGAAGAGAAATTCAGTTTTGTCAGCTTCCCCTTCTGGGTTAAAGATTTGCATCATAGGTCAGGCGTGGTGGCTCACGCCTATAATCCCAGCACTTTGGGAGGCCAAGGCAGGTGGATCACGAGGTCAGGAGATCAAGACCATCCTGGCTAACATGGTGAAACCCCATCTCTACTAAAAATACAAAAAACTTAGCCAGGCATAGTGGCGGGCACCTGTAGTCCCATTTGCTGGGGAGGCTGAGGCAGGAGAATGGCCTGAACCTGGGAGGCGGAGCTTGCAGTGAGCTGAGATCACGCCACTGCACTCTAGCCGGAGCAATAGAGCAAGACTATGTCTCAAAAAAAAAAAGATTTGCATCCCAAAAAATTAAACATAACTGTCCATTTTTTTGTTTTGTTTTGTTTTGTTTTGTTTTGAGACAAGGTCTTGCTCTGTCACCCAGGCTGGAGTGCAGTGGCAAGATCTCAGCTTACTGCAACCTCTGCCTCCTGAGTTCAAGCGATTCTCCTGCCTCAGCCTCCTGGGTAGCTGGGACTACAGGTGCATGCCACCACACCTGACTCATTTTTGTATTTTTAGTAGAGATGGGGTTTCACCAAGTTGGCCAGGCTGGTCTTCAACTCCCGATCTCAGGTGATCTGCCCACCTCAGCCTCCCAAAGTTGTGGGATTACAGGTGTGAGCCACTGTGCCCAGCCAACGGTCTTTTAAGTTGGTTTTAAGATGAATCATAGCCAACGGTCTTTTAAGTTGGTTTTAAGATGAATCACAGCCCACAGACCTCTTGCATCCACTAATGGACTGTGCTACTTTCCTTTTTACACCGTCCTCATAACAGAAAAGATGGGAACGGTGGAAAAGCGCAACGAGGAAAAAAATGAGGGAATGGCTGGGGTGGGGTTGGGGGAAGCCTAATAAAAAAACAACTGTAGGAGAGAAAGTGTTACTCACCAACAGATTTTGCATCATAGAAAGTTCTAGAAAACAGGACCACTGTCACTTCATGACTACAGTTCTTCTCCTAAGCATGAGTACAGAACAACAGGGTTAACGTTTGTTTCATCTACTTCACTATGAAGCAGACTGCATGCACATAATTTTTTTTTTTTTTTTTGAGATGAGTCTTAACTCTGTCACCAGGCTGGAGTGCAGAGGCACAATCTCACCTCACTGCAACCTCCGCCTCCTGGGTTCAAGCAATTCTCCTGGCTTAGCCTCCCAAGTAGCTGGGACTTTAGGCGTGTATCACCACGCCCAGCTAATTTTTGTATTTTGAGTAGAGACGGGGTTTTACCATGTTGGCCAGGATGGTCTCGATCTCCCGATCTCATGATCCTCCTGCCTCAGTCTCCCAAAGTGCTGGGATTACAGCTGTGAGCCATCATGCCCAGCCTTATTCTTTTTTTTTTTTTTTTTGAGGCAGAGTCTCACTCAGTTGCCCAGTCTGGAGTGCAGTAGCATGATCTCAGCTCACTGCAGCCTCCACCTCCCAGGTTTAAGCAATTCTCCTGCCTCAGCCTCCCGAGTAGCTGGGGTTACAGGCATGGGCCACCACACCCAGGTAATTTTTGAATTTTTAGAAGAGACAAGATTTCACCATGTTGGCCAGGCTGGTCTCAAACTTGTGGCCTCAAGTGATCGGCCTGCCTCGGCCTCCCAAAGTGATGGGATTATAGGTGTGAGGCCCAGCTGCACATAATATTCTTAATCCAGGTGGCTTAGCAGCAGTGCACAATATTGAATAGCTTCATGTAACTATAGGCTGCAGTGCAGGAGACAGAGTACTGCTGGGAGTCAGAAGACCTAGATGGAGTCCTGGCCCTGAAACTTGCCACTATGTGACCTTGGGAAAGTTACCTAAAGTGCCGGGAATGTGGAAAGTGATTGGAAAGGTGTAAATCTGCAGTAAATAATGGTCACTGTCTCCCAGTTCCCGAAAAGCTGGGACTACAGACAAGCACCACCAGGCCCAGATAATTTTTGCATTTTTCGTAAAGACAGGGTTTCTGCTGGGCGTGGTGGCTCACGCCTGTAATCACAGTGCTTTGGGAGGCTGAGGCAGGTGGATCACTTGAGGTCAGGAGTTCGAGACCAGCCTGGCCAACATGGCGAAACTCTACATTACCCAGGCAATGTGGCACGTGCCTAAAGTCACAGCCACTCGGGAGGCTGAGGCAGGATAATCACTTGAACCCAGGAGGTGGAGACTGCAGTGAGCCGAGATTGTGCCATTGCACTCCAGGCTGGGCAACAGAGCAAGACACCGTCCAAAAAAAAAAAAAAAGAAAGAAAAAAAAAGAGAGATAAGAGTTTCATCATAATCCCCAGGCTGGGCTCAAGTGATCCACTAGCCTTGGCAAAGTGCTGGGATTACAGGCGTGAGCCACAATGCCAGGCCTACAGTGTTTTTTAATTTTTGCAGAACTGTGGTCTAGGGAACAAGAACAGCACCCATGGTGGTGGATTCAAGAATCAAAGACACTCTTACACCCTACTAGTCTCATAGGACGAGGGTGGGGGTTTGCTCCAGACTCAGTGGTATAAGCCAAGGCAAAGAACTACCTTTGGACAGCGACGGGGACTAAGGAGAATAAACATTTCTATGGAGTCTGGAGATCAATATCCTAGAAGTAGGGTGTTTACAAATGAATATGAAAAGTGGCTTGCACCAGTGAGCTAGCAAGTTCAGTTTCAGTTCCTCCTGGGTCTCTGAAGACAATAGCCTATACTGACCAACCCCATCTTTATCCCAAGTACGCTTAGTGACTAAAGAATTCAGCACTCACTATATAAGGCACATAATATAATGCACATTTCATAAATGTATCTCAAGTGGACAGAAATTCCTAAATACAAGCCACAGTACCAAGAGCAGAGTGCTAGGAAACAGCAGACCTTCACTGACTACCAATTAATTCACTGGACTCCAAGAGCTCCAAACTCAGCACCCTTATCTAATTTTAGTGCAAGTGATATACAGGAAAACACAATGGGCTCACAACGGGCTGACGTGGGCATGGAATGTCTCAACTCATAAGTGATGTGATGAGAGGATCTATTATTATCTTCATTTTGCAGCTGAAGAAATGGAGCCTCAGAGACTAATCCTTGGAGATCAAAAAGCTAATCAGCCAGGCATAGTGGCCTGCGCCTGTAGTCCCAACTACTGAGGAGGATTAAGTGAGAAGATCCTTGGAGCCCAGGAGTTCAAGACCAGCCTGAGCAGCATAGCAAGACCCTGTCTATTAAAAAAAAAAAAAAAAAAAAAAAAAAAAAGCAAGCTAACGAGATCATTTAAAACCCAGTCTGCCTTAATACAAACTCTACTCTTTTACATTACATCATGTGACTTCAAATACTTTTTCATCAAAACGTTTTCATGTGAAATCAAGGTGGGATAATTGAATGAAATAATTTTTTAATTGTGGTAAAACACATATACATATTGCCATTGTGACATTTAATACATTCACCATGTTGTATAACTATCACCATTATTTAAATCCAAAACATTTTCATCACCCCAATAGGAAATCCCAAACTGATTAAACAGTCACTCCCCACCCTCGGTTCCTGGCAACCACTGATCTCTATATTATATATTTACCTATTCTGGACATTTCATATACATAAGATCCTATGATTTGTATTTGATCCACTATGTCTGGCTTCTCTCACTTAGCACGTGTTCAAGATTCATCTATGCTGTAGCATGTGTTAGTACTTCATTCTTCTTTATGGCAGACTACTACTATATTGTACGGATATACATTTTATTTATCTATACTTTAGCTGACAGACATTTGTTATTTGTGTTATCCTACTTTTTAGCTAATATGAATAATGCTGTCAAGAATATGTAATCCAGCACTTTGGGAAGCCAAGGTGGGCAGATCACTTGAGGCCAGGAGTTCGAGATCAGCCTGGCCAACATGATGAAACCACATCACTACTAAAAATACAAAAATTAGCAGGGTAAGGTGGCGCACACCTATAATCCCAGCTACTCGGCAGGCTGAGGGATGAGAATCACTTGAACCTGGGAGGTGGAGGTTGCAGTGAGCCATGTTTGAGATCGCAGCACTGCACTCCAGTCTGGGCGACAGAGCAAGACTTTGTCTCAAAAAATACATAAATAAATAAAATAAAGAATATGGGACCAGGCACGGTGGCTCACCCCTATAATCCCAGCACTTTGGGAGGCCGAGGCTGGCAGATTACCCGAGGTCAGAAGTTCGAGACCAGCCCGGCCAACATGGTGAAACCCCATCTCTACTAAAAATACAAAAAAATTAGCTGGGCATAACAGTAGGCACCTGTAATCTCAGCTACTTGGGAGACTGAGGCAGGAGAATTGCTTGAACCCAGGAGGCAGTGGTTGCAGTGGGCCAAAATTGCACCATTGCACTCCAGCCTGGGCAACAAGAGCAAAACTCTGTCTCAAAAAGAAAAAAAGAAAAAAAAGAATATGGGCTAGGCACTGTAGCTCATGTCTGTAATCTCGGCACATTGGGAGGCCAAGGTGGGAAGATCACTTAAGCTCAGGAGTTCGAGATCTGCCTGGATAACATAGTGAGACCTCATTTCCACCAAAAAAAAAAAAAAAAAAGTAGCAGGGCATAGTGGCACATGCATGCTTGTAGTCCCAGCTACCCAGGAGGCTGAGGAGGGATGGCCCCTTGAGCTTGGGCAATTAAGGCTGCAGTGAGCTATGATTGTGCCACTGCACTCTAGCCTGGGCAACATGGCGAGACTCTGTCTCAAAAAATATATATACACGTATATAGTCATCCTAGTGGGTGTGAAGCAGCATTTCATTGTGGTATTAGTTTGCATTTTCCTAAAGACTAATGATTTTGAGCATCTTTTCATGTACTTGTTGGACATGAGAAATGTCTATTCAAGTCCTTTGCCCATTTGTTTTTATTTTTTTGTTTAATAATTTTAATTATTTTTTAATTTTTATGGGTACATAGTAGGTGTTTATATCTGTGGGGTACATGAGATGTTTGATACAGGCATGTAATGTGAAATAATCACATCATGGAGAATGGGGCAGCCTTTGCCCATTTGTCAATTAGGGTTTTTTCTTTTCTTTCTCGAGTTATAGAAGTTCTATGTATTTTCTGGATAACAGACTTTTATCAGAAGATCATTTGCAAATATTTTCTTCCATTCTGTGGGTTGTCTTCTTTTTTTTTTTTTAAGAGACAGGGTCTCGCTCTGTCCCGTCACCCAGGTTGGAGTGCAGTGGTACAATCGTACTGTAACCTCAAATTCCTGTGCTCAAGGGATCCTCTCGCCTCAGCCGCTTGAGTAGCTGAGACTACAGGCATTGCCAATGCAGTCAGCTATTTTTTTCTATTTTTATTCTTGTAGAGACAGGGTCTCGTTTCGTTGCCTGGGCTACTGGAACTTTTGGCTTCATGAAATTCTCCTACCTCGGCCTCCCAAAGTGCTGGAATTAAAGGTGTGAGCCAGCACGTCTGGCCCCTTCACTTTCTTGATAATGTCTGTCGATTAATAAAATTTTTTAATTTTGAAGTCTGATTCATCTGCTTTTAATTTGGAGGTTGTGCTTTTGGTGTTATATCTAAGAACAAGGTTATATGAATTTCCCAGCCAGACGTGGTAGTTCTATTGTAATCCCAGCAATTTGGGAGGCCGAGGTGGGTGACTGCTTGAGCTCAGGAGTTTGAGACCAGTCTGGGCAACATGGCAAAACCCCGTCTCTACAAAAAGTACAAAAAATTAGCTAGGTGTGGTAGCAAATGCCTGTAGTCCCAAGCTACTCAGGCTAAGGCAGGAGGATCCCTTGAGCCCAGGAGGTCAAAGCTACAGTGAGCCATGATTGCTCCATTGCACTTCAGCCTGGGTGACAGTGAGACCTTGTCTCAAAAAATAAAATAAAATAAAATAACACTTTTTAGGCTGGGTGCGGCAGCTCATGCCTGTAATCCCAACACTTTGGGAGGCTGAGGCAGGCGGATCGCCTGAGGTTAGCAGTTCAAGACCAGCCTGGCCAACATGGTAAAACCCTCTGTCTAGTAAACATACAAAAAATTAGCTGGGCATGATAGCAGGCATCTGTAATCCCAGCTACTCAGGAGGCTGAGGCAGGAGAATTGAACAGGTGGAGAATTCAGGCAGGTGGGAGAATCACATGAAAATAAAAGTTCAAGAGTAGCCCAGGCAACAAAACGAGACCCTGTCTCTACAAAACTAAAAACAGAAAAAATTTAGCTGGCTGTGTTGGCAAATGCCTGTAGTCCCAACTACTCAAGAAGCTGAGGCAAGAGGATACCTTGAGTACAGGAATTTGAGGTTATAGTCTATGATTATACCACTGCACTCCAACCTAGGTGACAGGATAGAGCAAAACCCTGTCTCTTAAAAAAAATTCAATTCTTTTTTTCAGGTTGTTTGAACCTGGGAGGCGGAGGTTGCAGTGAGCTGAGATCGCACCACTGCACTCCAGCCTGGGCAACAGAGTGAGACTCTGTCTCAAAATAAAAAAATAAATAAATAAAATAAAAATAAAACTTTAAAAAATTCTTTATTCTTTTTTTTTTAGCCACCACACCCAGCTAAGTTTTTGTATTTGTGGAGACAAAGTTTTGTCATATTGTCAGGGCTGGTCTGGAATTCCTGGGCTCATGCAATCTGCCCACCTCCACCTCCCATGAGCGACCACACCTGGCTCAGCTTTATAGTTTTAGCTCTTTATTTACTTATTTATTTATTTTTGACATGGAGTCTCACTTTGTTGCCCAGGCTGGAGTACAGTGGCATAATCTCGGCTCACTGTAACCTCCACCTCCCAGGTTCAAGTGATTCTCCTGTCTCAGCCTCCTGAGTAGTGGGATTACAGTGCACCCACCACCATGCCTGGTCTAATTTTTGTATTGTTAGTAGAGACAGGGTTTCATCGCGTTGGCCAGGCTGGTCTCAAACTCCCGACCTCAAGTGATCTGCCCACTTTGGCGTCCCAAAGTGCTGAGATTACAGGTTGTGAGCCACCGCACCCAGCCAATTTTAGCTCTTATATTTAAGTCTTTGATTCATTTTGGTTCCATTTCATATATGATTTGAGGTGAGGGTTCAAATTCATTCTTTTCCATATGGACATTCAGTTGTTCCAGAATAATTTGTTGAAGAGAATATTCTTTCTCTCATTAAATGAACTTGATGCCCTTGTCTAACTGACCATAGATGTACGGATTGATTTCAATTCAATTCCATTGATCTATATATTTAACCTTATGTCATATCACACTATTCTGATGATTGAGGGTTTTAGTAAGTTTTGAAATTAGGAAGTGAGAGTCCTCCAACTTCGTTCTCCTTTTACAAGATTGTTTTGACTATTCGGGATCCCTTGCAATTCCACATGAATTTTAGGATCAGCATTTCTATTTCTGCAAAAAAAAAAAGGGGGGGCACTGGTATTTTGATAGGAACTGCACTAAACTGTAAACTGCTTTGGGTAGTATTGCCAAATGCACAATATTGAGTCTTTCTATCTGTGAACACAGGTTATCTTACTATTTACTCAGGTCTCCATTAACTCCTTTCACAATATTTTATAGATTTTAGTGGACCAGTCTTACAGCTCCCAGGGTAAAGTAGTCTAAGTATTTTATTCTTTCAGATTGTTTATTGCTGGTATATAGAAATACAATTATTTTGTGTGTTGATTAGGTATCCTGAAACTTCGTTGAATGCACTAGCTCTCACACTTACTTTGTGGATTTTGAGGATTTTCTACATTTAGGATCATATTATCTGTGAATAGAAATAGTTTTACTTCTTTTTCAATTTGGATGTCTTTTATCTCTTCTGCTTGCCTAGAGGGTCTATCTGGAACTTCTAGTTAGTATAATGTTGAATACCAGTGGCAAAAGCAAGCATACTTACCTTGTTACTCATCTTGGGGGAAAGTTTTCAGTCTTTTACCATTGAGTGTGATACTAGCTTTGTGTTTTTCATAAATTCTCATAAATTGAGATTATTAGGGTAATTTAAATCTGGAGTCTGGGTTTTAGCTAAAATCGCTAAATTTAGGGCAATTTAACAAAAACAGTGCATTTTTAAAATCTGTATTGGGTAACGTTTACATAATGAGACTTAGTGTGTAAGAAGAAATGTACCTTCCACTTGGTAAATAGATCAGCAAGGAAACCATTCACAGCTTTCTCAAAATACAAATCCCCTGAAAAGAAACAATGAAAAGAAGGTGAGAACATGAGCACAATCTTTATTTCTTATTTGCAATTTCTTCTCTAACTAAATTTCTTCTTTAAGTAAATTTTTCTCTAAGCAGTTCCCTAAGTAAATTGCTTGCAATTTCTTCTCTAAGAAAGGGGACCAAAAAGGTGTATTTTGTACATCTTTTTTGTTTCTTTCTTGCTTTTTTCCAAGACAGAGTCTCGCTCTGCCTCCCAGGCTGGAGTGCAGCGGCGTGATATTGGTCCACTGCAACCTCTGCCTCCCCGATTCAAGCAATTCTCCTGCCTCAGCCTCCCAAGAAGCTGGGATTACAGGCACCTGCCACCACGCCCGGCTAATTTTTGTACTTTTAGTAAATACAGGGTTTCCCCATGTTGGTCAGGCTAGTCTCCAACTCCTGACCTCAGGTGATCCGCCCACCTCAGTCTCCCAAACTGCTAGGATTACAAGGCATGAGCCACTACGCCCAGCCTGTTTTGTACATCTTACAAGATCATAATAGCCAGATGTACAAAGTGGTTTCATTCTCAACTTTCTAAGACGTCAAGTTTATTTATTTGTTTTTTGAAGCCAAATTTAATATCTGCCTCACTACTAACAGGCTGTGGCTTCAACGTAAAATGTAGTTTGAAAAAAATTTGATTATTGAAAAAAGCAGTGTATCTCCAGAACGAGAAAACACTCTAACCTCCAAATAGGATTATTCTCACAAGGACATTTAAAGTTTGTTAGAAGATGATGTGGGGGACCCTGGGCATTCATGAATTAGCATTTGTAGTTCCAGAAAATTCTCCCCTTAGCAGTTACAATCAGCATTAGAAATAGTACCATAAATATCAAAATCCCACATTTCACAGCTCATCTGAATAAATATGTAAACCATAGCCGACGTAGAACGAAACACCACCTGAAATAAAAGCATAATTGTATTAAAAAGCAATGCCATATAGAGTTTCAGTTCTATAAGATGAAAAAGTTCTGAAGATCTGCTTCACAACAGTATAAATGTTCTTAACACTACTGAACTATACACTTGAAAACGGTTAAGATGGTAATTTTGTGATAGGCTTTTTAACAATTTTTTTTAAAGCAATGATAAAAGAATCCCGCAATGTTGGACTTCTTTTTTTCCTTTGTTTTGAGATAGGATCTTACTCTTGCTGCCCAGGCTGAGTGCAGTGACACAATCACAGCTCACTGCAGCCTCAGACTCCCAGGATGAAATGATCCTCCCATTGCAGCCTCCCGAGTAGGTGGGACTATGGGAGTGCATCCCCAGGCCACAAAATTTTTGTATTTTTGTAAAGAGGCAGTCTCCCTATGTTGCCCAGAGTGGTTTCAAACTCCTGGGCCCAAGCAATCCTCACACTGTGTCCAGAGGTGGTTCCTTCCAGTGGGTTCCTGGTCTCCCTGATTTCAAGAACGAAGCTACAGACCTTTGCAGTGAGTGTTATAGCTCTCACAGGTGGCATGGGCCACCTTTGCTCACCAAGAGGGAGCAGCAGCAAGATACATTGTGAAGAACAAAAGAACAAACCTTCCACGTGGAACCTAGGGTGGCCAGCTTTTATTCCCTTATTTGTCCCAGCCCACGTCCTACTGATTGGTCCATTTTACAGAGCGCTGATTGGTCCATTTTACAGAGTGCTGATTGGTGCACTCACAATCCTTTAGCTAGACAAAGAGTGCTGACTGGTGCATTTGCAATCCTCTAGCTAGACAGAAAAGTTCTCCAAGTCCCCACTCCACCCAGGAAGTCCAGGTGGCTTCACCTCTTACCACCTTTGCCTCCTGAAGTGTTGGGATTACAAGCATGAGCCACAGCTTGGGGCCATGACTTGGGACCTCTAAAAGCAAACTTCATCGAAGCATTCTTTGTTTCATTTAAATAGTTACTGAACTCTTACTCTGAGCCCTGTTTCAGAGACAGTGAAAAGAAGATCTGTTCCCTATCCTCTAGGAGCTTACAGTACAAGATAAAAACATGCAAAACATTCCAGCATATACAAAGGTTCTATGAACATTTACACAAGAAATGCAGGGGGAAGGGCAGTGAATCTACCTGGGAAAGTTATGGAAATCTCATTACGAAGACACAACTTGGGCTAAGATGTGCCAGGTGATGAGTTGCCAGTCTAATAATTAAATTATAACTCACATTGTACTTCCATTACTCTCAGACTGCCTCAATGAAAAGCATAAGTGGTTTTCTAGCCCTGTGTGCTATACCACAGAGCCTTTCCTCCACAAGGCTCTAAAGAAGTTTAGAGGGAACATAAAATGTAAATCTCTAACACTCCTTTAGTCCATCAGAGACCTGCTCCTTAAAGACTGAAGCTCCTGGCCGGGCACGGTGGCTCACGCGTATAATCCCAGCACTTTGGGAGGCTGAGGCAGGTGGATCACCTGAGGTCAGGAGTTGGAGACCAGCCTGACCAACATGGCGAAACCCTGTCTCTACTAAAATAGAAAAATTAGCCAGGTATGGTGGTGAGCGCCTGTAATTCCAGCTATTGGGGAGGCTGAGGCAGGACAATCGCTTGAACCCGGGAGGCTGAGGTTGCAGTGAGCCAAGATCACACCACTGCACCCCAGCCTTGGCGACAGAATGAGACTCCGTCTCAAAAAAAAAAAAAAATTCAGAGAAAGGAACAGAAATATAGGTTACATTGTCTAAAAGTTATAATAATAAATATGCAAGGTTCTTATAATTAAAGTTGTTTTCCTCTGTCTGTCTATAGAGACAAGGTCTCACTCTGTCTCCCAGGTAGGAGTGCAGTGGCACCATCATAGCTCACTGCAACATCAAACTCCTGGGCTCAAGTCATCATCCTGCCTCAGCCTCCCAAGCAGCTGAGATTACAGGTGTGGGCCACTAGCCCAGCTAAATTTTCTTTTGAGAGATGGGTTCTCCCTCTATTGCCCAGGCTGGTCTCAATCTCCTGGGCTCAAGCAATCCCCCTACCTTGGCCTCCCAAAGTCCTGGGATTACAGACATGAGCCACCATGTCCAGCCTCATCTTATTTAATATTTTTTTGGCCAGATGTGGTGGCTCACCCCTGTAATCCCAACATTTTGGGAGGCTGATGTGGGCAGATCACTTGAGGTCAGGAGTTCAAGACCAACCTGGCCAATATGGTAAAACCCCGTCTCTACTAAAAATATAAAAAGTCAGGTGTGGTGGCAAGTGCCTGTAGTCCCAGCTACTCAGGAGGCTGAGGCAGGAGAGTCTCTTGAACCCAGGAGGCGGAGGTTGTAGTGAGCTGAGATCGCACCACTGCACTCCAGCCTGGGTGACACAGCGAGACTCCATCTCAAAAAAAAAATAATAATAATAAATAAATACAATAAAAATAAACTCGTGTTTTTCTGATGGGTGTGGTGGCATGTGCCTATAATCCCAGATACTGAAACAGGCCTGCTAGAGCCCAGGAAAGACCCCTGAGTAACACAACAAGACCCCCATCTCAAAAATAATTAATTAAAAAGAAAATCTGAAAGTATTGTTTCTCTAATCAGATAATAAATTCTTTGGTTTTTTTTTTGTTTTTTTTTTTTGAGACAGAGTTTCGCTCTATGTGATCTTGGCTCACGGCAACCTCCGCCTCTTGGGTTCAAGTGATTCTCTTGCCTCAGCCTCCCAAGTAGCTAGGATTACAGGCATGCACCACCAAGCCCGGTTTATTTTGTATTTTTAGTAGAGATGGGGTTTCTCTATGTTGGTCAGGCTGGTCTCGAACTCCCGACCTCAGGTGAACCACCCACCTTGACCTCCCAAAGTGCTGGGATTACAGGTGTGAGCCACTGCACCCGGCCCAGATGATGAATTCTTGAGGCAGTGAAGCCTGTCTAATATTTCACTCCACCAACATTTGAGAGACTACTAGGTGCCAGTAGACATGCCAGAGAACTTTGGCATATAAAGGTTAAAGACGCATCCTTGCTCTGAGGGTGCTCACAGTCCAGTGACAAGGCACACAAGCAAGCGCACCTACTGCAGTGTGGGAACTGCTAATGAGTGCACAGATCCAGGGTGCCATGGAGGTACTTCCAGCCTGGTGGACCAGGAAGGCTCTCCAGAAGCAGGGAATCCTAAGACTAGAGCTGAGACCTGGATGAGTGGCTTGGGAAGGGGAAACGCAGGGTCTAGGCACCTCAGGTTACAGAGGGCAGCATGTGTAAAGACATAGTGGCAAGAGAGAAGATAGCATGTTGGGGAACAATGAGTGGTTTGCGTGGCGAGGACACTGGGGGGCAGTGGGGAACAACACATGGGAGAAGTGATGAAGAGAACTCCAGACTCAACTGCCTCTAGTGATTCCTCCACTCAGGTGTCCAACAGACTTCTCCCAAACGGAGCTTCCTAATGTCCCCAACCTGCTTCTTCCCTGTCTTCCCCATCTCATAAATCGCACCACCATCTACTTAGCTGTTCAGTCCTTCTCTTTCCTTCACTCCTCACATCCAATCTACAAACAAGTTCTGTAGACCCTATCCAGAAATGTGTCTCATACCTGCCCACATCCTTCCACTGTTACAGCTCTCACCTTAGTCCATACCACCATTTTCTTGCTAGACTATAGCGGGTCTTCTAACTCACTTATCTGCTTTTACTCTTGACCCTGGAAATAACTCTCTATACCAGAGCCAGAAGGGCTGCAGCACTTAATGCTAAATGCCTATCCATTCTTCCCTTCTTCTGATTCTGTTCTGAAAGGCAAGAGACCCAACCAAAAGACAAAACTTCCCAGCCTCCATAGCAGCTACAAGTGACTAAAATCTGGCCTGTAAGCTTTAAATGGAAGTGTTGTGTCCATAAAGGAAGCTGACTTGGTGGGGCGATACACCTCTCGTCTCTCTTTCCTTCCTCTCTCCTCTGCCTGGAATATGGATGTGATTATATCAGCTCTAGGTGGACATGGAAGCCCTACCCTGAGGATAACAGAACAATAAGACACAAGGACACCAATAATGGTGACACTATTGTACCAACCATGAATTACATACCCATGATTTCCTTTACATGACAGAGAAAAGTTGACCTTTAGCCATTAGAGCCGGTGATTTGGAGGGTTTTATTCAACAAAACACAACTGAATGAGTAGTGATCATTTAAAAGCATAATTCAAGTATCACTCTGCCACTTAAAACCCATCAGTAGGCCGGGCGCGGTGGCTCAAGCCTGTAATCCCAGTACTTTGGGAGGCCGAGACGGGCGGATCACGAGGTCAGGAGATCGAGACCATTCTGGCTAACACAGTGAAACCCCGTCTCTACTAAAATACAAAAAAAAAAAATAGCCGGGCGAGGTGGCGGGCGCCTGTAGTCCCAGCTACTTGGGAGGCTGAGGCAGGAGAATGGCGAAAACCTGGGAGGCGGAGCTTGCAGTGAGCTGAGATCCGGCCACTGCACTCCAGCCTGGGCGACAGAGCAAGACCCCGTCTCAAAAAAAAAAAAAAAAAAAAAAAAACCCCATCAGTGGATTCTAATTCTCCTTAGAAAAACTCTAAACTGGTTCTAACCACCTTGAAGGCCCCACATGAACTGGCTGGAACCTGCCTATCTCCTCACCAACATCGTTCTCCCTACCTGTCTGCAATACTTCCACCACACTGACTTCTGAAAATTATTTCCTCTGCCTGGAATACTCTTCACCCCAACATTTATAAACTAGCTAAGTCTCACTATTCAGATACCTTTGCAGGAAAGCAAAGGCACGATTATGGTGAGTACTCTGGCAATTAATTGGGTCATGTGTATACGCACACACATAAAACATACATATATTTACAAACAATGTAAATACATCCAATGTAAACAATAGGAAATTACAAAAATGAAGTTCGTAGAGTGGTTCCCTCTAAGGGCACATTGGGTCTCAACCAAGGGTGATTTTACCCCTCAGGGGACATTTGGCAGGTCTGGAGAAATTTCTGGCTGTCATAACTTGTAGATTTGTAGGGTGAAGGGTAGTGGGTGATACTGGCATCTAGTGAGTAGAGGCCAGGGATGCTGCTAAACATTCTGCAATGCACAAGACAACCCCCACAACATATTAACATTTTGGGCCAGATAACTCTTTGCTCTGGAGGCCTGCTCTGGATGTGTAGCATGTTTAGCAGGATTCTCACTAGATGCCAGTTTCACAACCCCTCAGTTGTGACAACCAAATATGTCTTTAGACATTGTCAAAAGACCCCTGAAGGGAGCAAAATCACCCCTGGTTGAAAATGACTGCTCTCAGAGAAGGCATGGAGATGGGAACAAGCAAAGGTAGACATACGGTTTTACCAGCACGGGTAACGTTCATTGGCAAAGGTCTCTCTTCAAGTTTATGACATGATCTTCCATAGGGCTTAACTTTTGCTATGTATGAATGGGCATGGCATTCTGCAGGCCAGATACTCTTTCTGTTTGACATTAAACAGACCCCTTCAGAAGAAAATGAAGATCAATACCAAACTGGAGACATTCAACTGTAAAAGAGTTTCAGGAGAACTTGATATTACTAGTTCCATGTGGGCAAACAGTAGCAGTCAAGAGCGTATCAGATTTTTGTTTGTGTTTTTTGTTTGTTTGTTTTTGAGACGGGGTCTTGCTGTATGTCACCCAGGCTGGAGTGCAATGATGCAATCATGACCCACTGCAGCCTCGAACTCCTGGGATCCGGTAATTCTCCCACCTCAGTTTCCTGAATAGCTGGGACCAGAGGCACCCATCACCATGCCTAGCTAATTTTTGTATAGGTGGGTCTCTCCATGTTGCACAGGCTCGTCTTGAACTCCTGGGATAAAGCAATCTGCCCACCTTGGTGTCCTGCCCCGCCCTTGTTTTATTTTTGATTTTAGGACTTAGCCATAATGGGATGGGGAGATAAAACCAAAAATGCATTTTATAAATCTTACCCTGGTATCTTCACTGATGTAACCACACATGACCTTCTCATTCTTAACCCACAGCTCACCAGCCTGCGCTCTGAAAGGATACACACACAAGTTATTACAAGTCTTACATGAAACCAATACATGCCTGGTGCAGTAGCTCACACCTATAATCCCAGCACTTTGAGAAGTCGAGGCAGGCGAATTACCTGAGGTCAGGAGTTCAACAACAGCCTGGACAACATAGTGAAACCCCATCTCTACTAAAAATCCAAAAAAATCAAACAGTCATGGTGATAGGTACCTATAATCTCAGCTTCTCAGGAAGCTGAGGCAGAATTGCTTGAACTCAGGAGGCGGAGGTTGCGGTGAGCCGAGATCATGCCATTGCACTCCAGGCAACAAGAGCGAAACTCCGTCTCAAAAAAGAAAAAAAAGGTGAATAGTACGGCAGAAACAGCATGGCTTTCAGACCTGACCAGCCTGGAGAGAAACTGGTCTAGGCAAGAATCCCAGCTGAGTATCACTTACTAGGTGAACGGCCATAGTAACCTCATGAGGTTCATTGGCATTATCTTTAAAAATGAGACAATGGGCCGGGTGTGGTGACTCACACCTATAATCGCAACACTTTGGAAGGCCAAGGTTGGCAGATCGCTTGAGTCCAGGAGTTGACACCAGCCTGGGCAACATAGTGAGACCTGTCACTACAAAAAATACAAAAAATTAGGCAGGTGTGGTGACACATGCTAGTCCCAGCTACCTAGGAGGTTGAGGTAGGAAGATCACTTGGGCCTCAGAGGTCAAGGCTATAGTGAGCTGTGATTGCACCACTACACTCCAGTTTGGGCAACAGAGTGAGACTGTCTCAAAAAAACAAAACAAAAAAACAAATAAAACAAAAGAGACAATGAAGCCTACGCCTTACAGAGCTGTTTTCTTTTTCTTTTTTTTTTTTTGAGATGGAGTCTCGCTCTGTCGCTCTGTCTGGAGGGCAGTGGGGTGATCTCAGCTTAGTGCAACCTCCGACTCCCTAGTTCAAGCGATTCTCCTGCCTCAGCCTCCTGAATAGCTGGGACTACAGGCACATGCCACCATGCCCAGCTAATTTTTTGTATTTTTAATAGAGACGAGGTTTCACCATGTTGGCCAGGATGGTCTAGATCTCCTGACCTCGTGATCTGCCCGCCTCGGCCTCCCAAACTGCTAGGTTTACAGGCATGAGCCACCGCACCTAGCCTTCTACAGAGCTGTTTTCAAATTAAACCAGATTAATGTGCAGAAACTGTTCAGGACAGTGTGAGGATAGGAGGTGCTCAATTAAGTTTACTAGCAAGAAGTAGAATTACAGCAGGTATTAACACAAAATGCTATCCTGGAGAACAGTGGTAGCTGTTAGCTGAGCACCCTGTAATCAATCATCCCTCAACGAACCCCCTCAAGCCCTTATCTTCTACCAATTTCACGCTTTCTCCCAATCTGCTGCACCTAAACAATCAGTCCTCATAAAAAAGGAAGACAAAGGCTGGGTGCAGTGGCTCACACCTGTAATCCCAGCACTTTGGGAGGCTGAGGTGGGCGGACCACGAAGTCAGGAGTTTGAGACCAGCCTGGCCAACATGGTGAAATCCTGCCTCTACTGAAAACACAAATATTAGTCAGGCGTGGCGGCAGGCGCCTGTAATCCCAGCTACTCGGGAGACTGAGGCAGGAGACTCGCTTGAACCTGGAAGATGGAGGTTGCAGTGAGCTGAGATTGCGCCACTGCACTCCAGCCTGGGCAACAAGAGTAAAACTCTGTCTCAAAAAAACAAAAAACAAAAAGCAAACAAAAAAAAGGAAGACAAAAATCAGATAAAAGCCCAGAAAATGCTGTGTACTATGAGTTACAGCTCAGGCTACCTGGGAAATGCTGGACAATCAATCAATCCCTCTGGGTCTACCCCATGCCAAAATGAAGAAGGCTGGACCAGGCCTATGGCTTATACCAAGTGGGATGTTTTTTCATAGTCCTTTGCCCAGTTACGTCTGTGAATGAACAAGTGTCACAAGCCTGACCTGAGAAGAGATTTGTATTTATTTAATATCATAATAAGGAGATCAGGCACGGTGGTTCACACCTGCAATCCCAGCACTTTGGGAGGCCGAGGTGGGTGGATCACAAGGTCAAGAGATCGAAACCCATCCTGGCCAACGTGGTGAAAACCCATATCTACTATCTTGCTATCTCCCAGAGTGGCCTCAAATTCTTGGGCTTAAGAGATTCTCCCACCTCAGACTCCCAAGTAGGTGAAACTAAAGGCACACACAGCCACACCTCAATTTTTTTGTATTTTTAGTAAAGACGGGGTTTCACTATGTTGTCTAGGCTGGTCTTGCACTCCCGGACTCAAGCAATCTGCCCACTTAAGCCTCCCAAAGTGCTGGGATTACAGGCATGAGCCACCACACCCAGTCAGCTCTGTTTATAATCATCCGAACCCCACATTAACAGGACCTCTAAAACAAGCTTGGTGTGGCCAGAGGTGGTGTGATCCCAGCACTTTGGGAGGCTGAGGCAGGTGGATTACCCGAGGTCGGGAGTTCAAGACCAGCCTGACAAACATGGTGAAACCCCATCTCTACCAAACACACAAAATTAGCCAGGCATGGTGGCAGGTGCCTGTGATCCCAGCTACTTGAGAGGCTGAGGCAGGAGAATTGCTTAAGCCTGGGAGGCAGGCGGTGGAGGGACAAAAAAACCCCCCCCTCCCCCCCCCCGGGGGGAAAAAAGAGAAACACCTCCCAAAAAAAAAAAAAAAAAAAAAGTTACAATGTGATCCAACAGGCTAGGGTTTAAGGTATTTTTTAAAAGCAAAATGTCAGTCAATAGGAAATAAGATTTTGCTACTCTATATATATATATATTTTGTTGTTGTTGTTGTTTGTTTTGTTTTTTTGAGACGGGGTTTCACTCTTGTTGCCCAGGATGGAGTACAATGGCACGATCTCGGCTCACCACAACCTCTGCCTCCTAGGTTCAAGCAATTCTCCTGCCTCAGCCTCCGGAGTAGCTGGGATTACAGGCACCTGCCATCACGCCCGGCTAATTTTTGTATTTTCAGTAGAGATGGGGTTTCACCATGTTGGCCAGGCTGGTCTCAAACTCATGACCTCAGGTAATCCACCCGCCTCGGCCTCCCAAAGTGCTGGGATTACAGGCGTGAACCACCAAACCCAGCTCATATGTTCTTAACTATTTAACTATTACCAGATTGAAAGTTTAATTGCACAGAAATTCTTTGACCATTTACAATGACTTTAACTATACAAATGACTATACTTTATTTTTCTCATAGTAGGCCCAAAGCATCTTTTTTCTCAGGCATTCACGAAGTCAGCAAAAGAAAGTAATCTTTGATCCAGTGTAGAAATACTGTAAGTCTTCTGGAGAAAAGATAGAAGACTGTAGTTTACATTTAACCATGCCTGAGCCAAATATCAGGACGGACCTTTAAAAGTCTAAAAGTGGCCAGCTGCAGTGGCTCATGCCTGTAATCTCAGCACTTTAGGGGGCTGAGCCAAGAGGATCGTTTGAGCCCAGGAGTTGGAAACCAGCCTGAGCAACATAGTGAGACCCTGTCTCTACCAAAACGAAAAAAAAAAAAAAGAGCCAGGCGCGCTGGCATGCACTTGTAGTCCTAGCTACTCAGAAGGCTGAGGTGGGAGTACTGCTTGGGCCTAGGAGGTTAAGGCTGTAGTGAGGTATGATGGCACAACCGCATTCCAGCCTGGGCGATACAGGAAGCCCATCTCAAAAATAAAGAAATAAAAATAAAGTTAAAAACTGACACTATGTGAGGGTTGTCTTTTCTCCATCTAGAACTGTGTATATGAGGGTATTTACATAGAGAAACAAAGAACTTAAAAAAGAAAGAGATCAGCCGGGCGTAGTGGCTCACATCTGTAATCTCATCACTTTTGGAGGCCAAGGTGTACAGATCACTTGAGGCCAGGAGTTCAACACCAGCCTGGCCAACATGGTGAGACCCCGCGTCTACTAAAGAACAAAAATTAGCCAGGCATGGTGGTGCATGCCTGTAGTCCCAGCTATTCAGGAGGCTGAGGTAGGAGAATCACTTGAATATAACATGTGCGTGTGTGTGTGTGTGTGTGTGTGTGTGTGTGCATATATAATTTAAAAAGAGAAAGCAATAGAAAAAAAAAAATGAGAGAGATCTAAATAGGTTTCCAAACCAAGGCTGGCAAACTACATACAGCCTTCAAGCCAACTCTCCCCTATCTCCTGTTTTCATATGGCCCACAGTTAAGAATGGCTGTTACATTTTTAAATGGTCGAAACACACACACAGAATATGCAATAGACCTGACATCTATTGTGACTCAAAAAGCCTAAAATATTTATTAACTGGTCCTTCACAGAAGAATATTCTAAACCAACTATTCCATTTTGCAGATGTGAAGACTAAGGGTTTACCAGAGTTACCCAACATCACTCGAACTACTAATCACAGTGATGGCTAAACACTGGCTCTGCAGATACAGATCCAGGCTTCCTGACCCCTAGATACCCATCCAGTAGAGATCTGCTGATATTGGAGGCATAAACCTAGGTTGCATTTTTTGTGCTGCTTGAGATTTAGTCACTTCTTGGGTTGTGCTTTAGTTGCTTGGATTTTTTAAAGAACACTGACTCGCTAACACATTTTTGTTTGTTTTCAAAGATGGGGTCTCACTCTGTTGCCCAGGCTGGAGTGCAGTAATGCAATAATAGCTCACTGCAGCCTCAACCTGTGTTCAAGTGCTCCTCCTATCTGTTTCCCAAGTACCTCAAACTAGAGAAGCCCTGACACCAACCCCGTTCTTTTTTCTGTTATTTTAGACAGAATCTGACTCTGTCACCCAGGCTAGGGGGCAGCAGAATGATCAAAGCTTACTACAGCCTTGAACCTCCCTGGATTCAGGTGATCCTTCCACCTCAGCCTCCCAAGTAACTGGGTCTACAGGCGCCATCATGCCCAGCTAATTTTTGTATTTTTTTGTAGGGATGGGGTTTCAGCATATTGCCAGGTTGGTCTTGAACTCCCAGGCTCAAGCAAACTACCCACCTCAGTCTCCCAAAGTGCTGGGATTACAGGCATGAGCCACTGCACTTAGCCATAATTTTGTGTGTGTGTGTGTGTGTGTGTGTGACGGAATCTTGCTCTGTTGGCAGGCTAGAGTGTAGTGGTGTGATCTCGACTCACTGAACCTCTGACTCCCTGGTTCAAGCGATTCTCCTGCCTCAGCCTCCTGAGTAGCTGGGATTACAGGCATGTGCCACCACACCCAGCTGATTTTTGTATTTTTAGTACAGACAGGGTTTCACCATGTTACCCAGGATGATCTTGATCTTCTGACCTTGCAATCCACCTGCCTCGGCCTCCCAAAGTGCTGGGATTACAGGCGTGAGCCACCAAGTCCAGCAAAACACACATACACACACACACACGCATGCATATATATATATATATATTTTTTTTTTTTTTGTATAGATGAGGTCTTGCTATGTTGCCCAGGCTGGTCTTAAACTCCTGGCCTCAAGTGATCCTCATGCCATAGTCATTTTACTTGGCTGCCCTCCAATGATTAACACCTTTTTTGGGGGAAAAAAATGAAGCCTTTATCCTTTCTTTCTTTTTAGGATCAGTATTTCATTCTGGTCTAATAGCCCTAGTTGATGGATGAAAAGTTACTTACAAAAAGATTCTGGCTAATAAATGTAGAAGGGATGACTGAACTAAAAAAAAAACAAAAAAAGAAAAGAAAATCAACATTTTATAACAATCCTCAATGGATGAAACCACTAGGTGAAAAGTTGATGGGGACCAGGCGCAGTGGCTTATGCCTGTAATCCCAGCACTTTGTGGGGCTGAGGCAGGGGGATTACCTGAGATCAGGAGTTTGAGACCAACCCGGCCAACATGGTGAAACTCCATCTCCACTAAAAATAGGCATGGTGGTGCCCGCCTGTAGTCCCAGCTACTCAGGAGGCCGAGGCAGAAGAATTGCTTGAACCTGGGAGGCGGAGGTTACAGTGAGCCAAGATCGCACCACTGCGCTCCAGCCTGGGCGACAGAGTGAGACTCCGTCTCAACAACAAAAAAAGAAAAGTTGATGGGGACCTTTATGAGGGACTACACTGTACCCTGTGACCACGGTGACCAATCTTAGGATCACAAGTCAGTTAACAAGACATAAATACGCCGGGTGCAGTAGCTCACGCTTGTAATCCCAGCTCTTTGGGAGTCCAAGGTGGGCAGTTCATGAGGTCAGGAGTTCGAGACCAGCCTGGCCAACATAGTGAAACTCCATTTCCACTAAAAATACAAAAACTAAAAATTTAAAAAAATTAGCTAGGTGTGCTGGCGGGTGCCTGTAATTCCAGCAACTCACAAGGCTGAGGCAGGATAATTGCTTGAAACCAGGAGGCGGAGGTTGCAGTCAGCCAAGGTCGCGCCACTGCACTCCAGCCTGGGTGACAGAGCAAGACTCCGTCTCAAAAAAAAAAAAAGATATAAATATGATTATGTATACACAGTAAATTTCAGGAAAGACACAAGTTGTTTCTGGAGAGAGGAATGTATATTTCATGAGATACCTTTCTGAACTATTTGAATGCTTAATTATGTGCATGTTGTACTTTTTCTTTTTTTTTGAGACAGTCTCACTCTGTGACACAGGCTGGAGTGCGGTGGCATGATAACGTCTCACTGCAGCCTCTACCTCCCAGGGCTCAGGCGATCTCCCCACTTCAGCCTCCTGAGTAGCTTGGACTACAGGTGCGTGTCACCATGCCCAGCTAATTTTTGTATTTTTTTGTAGAAATGGGCTTTCACTGTATTGCCCAGGCTGGTCTTCAACTCCTGGGCTCAAGCAATAATCTACCCACCTCGGCATCCCAAAGTGTTGGGATTACAAGCGTAAGCCAACACACCCAGCCACTTTTTAAATTTAAAGGGGATTTCAAAAAGTCCCTTTTCTCTTCACAAACTAAAATATAGAAATAGTTTTAATAAATCAACAGTGCAGCACTATAGTTAAAAAGGTAACAAATCAGGAACCAATGTGCTAGTCATTTTGTTTCTAAACCTGTTTCCTAATGTGTAAAATGAGAAGGTATGATTCAATATGTTCATCTAGGGTTTTTCCAGTTGTAAAATTATAAGTCTCTATCTCCTTTTTTTTTTCTACTTCCTTTTTTACAGAACACCAGGGGGCTTCATCAACTTCTTCCATTAAGCCTTAAACTACTATAGTGCATTTTGTTGTTTGTTTGAGCTACAACAAACTAACTTTTTTTTTTTTTTTTTTTTTTTTATGAGACAGAGTCTCACTGTGTCACCCAGGCCGGAGTGCAGTGGTGCAATCTCAGCTCGCTGCAAGCTCCGCCTCCCGGGTTCACGCCATTCTCCTGTCTCAGTCTCCCGAGCAGCTGGGACTTATAGGCACCCGCCACTACGCCCGGCTAATTTTTTGTATTTTCAGCAGAGACGGGGTTTCACTGTGTTAGCCAGGATGGTCCTGATCTCCTGACCTCATGATCCGCCCACCTCAGCCTCCCAAAGTGCTGGGATTACAGGCGTGAGCCACTGTGGCCAGCCAACAATCTTAACATTTTATACTCTTATGCATTTTATTGTATGGACATCCATATGCCTCCACTGCTTTATATAGCCCAGTTACTGCATAGATAAGGCAAGAGTGATATAATATCTACCTGATGCCAGCAAACTCCACCTTCTGAGTGATATATGCACATGTGCTGACCTAAGAGGAGCGGGAGAGAGAGGGAGGGAGGGAGGGAAGGAGAGAGGGTGAGAAAGAGAAAGAGAGAGATTGATTAACATATTAAGGCCATGAAAAATCACAAACAAGAACTCCTAGCTTTCTAATCTCTTCTACCAACCCAAAGTTCAACTAGCTTGTGAGTAATAGACTTACCCCACAGGAAAACCTGTTAGGGTAGGTATGACAGTAGGTGCTTAAAGAGTTTGGCAAGTATAGCTAATGGGAAAGACCAAGTGGATGATAAATGACCAGCTTTACAAATATACTGATCTTCACATATGTTTACATATATATCTGCATTTACATACTCATTTAAGTATCATGTTCTTTCTCATTTTATCTCTCACTTTAGAAAATAGAACCCTCAACAAATAAAACGCAGATTTTTCCTGAAAATATGCCCTGTACGGAAATTCCACCTATAATTTGTGGTTTCATAGTATACAAAAACTTCATTTCTTTTGATTAGTGTCAAAATGGGAAAGAAAAAAAAACAAACCTCAAATGAGGAGAATTTTCAGAACCAGTTCACAATTCTGATGAACTAATCTTTTCAAGTTGAAATGTTCATTAAAAAATTAATAAATGTGGGTGTGGTATACACTGCCTGGGTGATGGGTGCACCAAAATCTCACCAATCACCATTAAAGAACTTACTCATATAACCAAATACCACCTGTTCCCCAATAACATGGAAATAAAAAAATTTTTTAAAAGACACAATTAAAATATAATAAAAATATTTTCGTTAACAAAATGGGCTGGACACGGTGCCTCACACCTATAATCCTAGCACTTTGGGAGGCAAAGGCAGGCGGATCACCTGAGGTCAGGAGTTCAAAACCAGCCTGGCCAACATGGCGAAAACCCCATCTCTACTAAAAATACAAAAAAACAGGCTGGGCGCAATAGCTCACATCTGTAATCCCAGGACTTTGGGAGGCTGAGGTGGGTGGATTGCCTGAGGTCGGGAGTTCGAGACCAGCCTGACCCACAGGAGAAACCCCGTCTCTACTAAAAATACAAAATTAGCCGGGCATGGTAGTGCATGCTTATAATCCGTGCTACTCCGGAGGCTGAGGCAGGAGAATCGCTTGAACTCGGAAGGCAGAGGTTGTGGTGAGCAGAGATCATGCCATTGCGCTCCAGCCTGGGCAACAAGAAAACTCTGTCTCAAAAAAAAAAAAAAAAAAAAAAATTAGCCGGGCATGGTGGTGGGTGCCTATAATTCCAGTTATAGGCAGGAGAATCGCTTGAACCTAGGGGGCAGAGGTTGCAGTAAGCCAAGATCCCACCACTTCACTCCAGCCTGGGTGAAAGAGCAAAACTCCGTCTCGGGAAAAAAAAAAAAAAACAATGAATACATGCGGAAAATGGGAGGAGGGTTCAGCAAAAAGCAGTGTGACCTGGAAGCCACAGGATCTGGGTTTTGGCCAAGGGCCAACTTACTAGCTAGCCTTGGGCAATTACCTAACTTCTCAATCTCAGTTTCTACCTCTATAAATTAGGGATAATAAATACCTGTCCATGAGGAGATGTGGGGAGCAAAGGGGATCAAGTGAAAACCTGAAAAGTAAGGTTCTACTCAAATGTAAAATACAGTATAACTTCCTATCTAAACCAAAAATGCTGAGTAAAAAATCTGTAACAGTAAACAAATAAAAGATCAAAAAAACAATGAAAAGAGAATGGAAGAATACACAAGATGTTGACAATAATTGTAGATGCTGAAATCAGAAACAATTTTATATTCTTCTCCTATAATAAACGGGGATTATTCACATAATGGAAAAAAGTAACAGACTTTCAAATAAATCACATCTTACCAAACTTTTCTTTAGTCGCCACATATCCCCACGGCCAATATACTGGTCCTTAAAAGTTAACTCCACTAGGTCAAGGGTCACATCCTAAAAGGAATAATCAAATAATATCTCTGACATTACTTTGCCACATTTTATAGTCACAAAGTAATGCCCACTTACCATGGAAAAAAACTTTTTGCAAAAAAGAAAACTACTGAAAGACCATTCAGTAGCAGAACTCTGATAAACAGAATTATATCCTGCCAAAGCACACTTGTCAGTATAGTTGGTAAATCTACAACTAATCCTCCAGCCACGGCAGCACGTTGAGTGTGAAGGGTAGTGGGGGACTCATTCTGTATTTTAGTCTGGATACTGGCACACAAACATGACACTGAGCTATGCACTTTATTTACCTATTAACGCCAATAGCACTTTCTGAACAATAATTTTTATCTATTATAACATCACTTCCTGAAGAAAAACGAGACTATGTTTTAAAATGTTAGTATTTTAATATAAAATTTTACATACAGTTTCATATACAAAAAATGGTTAGGACAAGCTTCAAGAAAAGTGGGGGTGGGTTTTAAATGCAACCTACATACTGCCTACATTCTAAATGACATATAGGCTACGTATTTATTTATTTACTTATTTATTTTGGGACAGGATGGTGCTCTGTTGCCCAGGCTAGAGTGCAGTGGTGCGATCTCAGCTCACTCACGGCAGCCTCCGCCTCCTGGGCTCAAGTGACTCTCATGCCTTAGCCTCCCTAGTAGCTGGGACTACAGGGGTGCACCACCATACCCAGCTAAGTTTTGTATTTTTAGGAGACACAGGGTTCCACCATTTTGCCCAAGCTGGTCTCAAACTCCTGACCTCAAGTCATCCACCTGCCTTGGCTTCCCAATGTGCTGGGATTACAGGCATGGGCTGCCACCCATGGCCTACATGTTTAGTTTAACAAGACAAGGTCTCGTTCTGTTGCCCAGGCTGAAATGCAACAGTGCAGCCATAAGCTCACTGCAGCCTCAATCTCCTGGGCTCAAGCAATCCTCCTGCTGCAGGCTTTCAAGCAGTTGAGACTACAGGCATATAAACACGCCCAGCTAATCTTATAGAAAAGTTTTAGCAGGCAGGACGCGGTGGCTCCTGCCTGTAATCCCAGCACTTTGGGAGGCCGAGGCAGGTGGATCACCTGAGGTCAGGAGTTCAAGACCAGCCTGGACAACATGGTGAAATCCCGTCTCTACAAAAATACAAAAATTAGCTGGGTGTGGTGGCGTGGGCCTGTGATCCTAGCTACTCAGGAGGCTGAGGCAGGAGAATGGCTTGAACCTGGGAAGCACAGGTTGCAGTGAGCCGAGATCGTGCCACTGCACTCCAGTCTGGGTGACAGAGCGAGACTCCATTTCAAAAAAAAACAGAAAAGTTTTAATGAAGACAAGGTCCAGCTATGCTACTCAGGCAGGTTGAACTCCTGGCCTCAAGTGATCCTCCTGTCTCAGCCTCCCGATGTGCTGAAATTACCACATCTAGCAGGTCACACATTTAATAGTCTAATACTACACTTAAGTAACCCGTTGTTTCCTTAGTAATCTAACCTTGAGGAAGTGTGCTAATCATTCCAAAAAGATATTCAAATCCAAAACAAAGACGTACCTTAGGGTCTACGACATTAACATAGACATCTTGATAAGGTCTTAGCCGAAACACTTGAGTCACAGTCTGGTCCACACTGATAGTTTCTAAAACAGAAACAATATCTGGCTGGGATAACACACTTTGAAAAAGCAGGTCCATATATTCTAATCTATAAATACTCAGACATTCAGTAAGCAACACAACTGATCATCTGACATGGGCAACACACAGTCTCTTCCTTTCAGGAGCTTAGAATTTAAACAATTCTCTGCTTTTTTAGGTGAAATAAGACCAGAGCCTAAGCAATCAACAAAAATGGAGAGAAAAAAGGGGAAGGGAGGGAAAACAAAGAATTTAAGAAGGAAGAGGCTGGGTATGGTGGCTCACACCTGTAATCCCAGCAGTTTGGGAGGTCTAGGCAGGAAGGTCACCTGAGGTCAGGAGTTCGAGACCATCCTGGCCAACATGGTGAAACTCTGTCTCTACTAAAAATATAAGAATTAGCCAGGCATGATGGTGGGCGCCTGTAATCCAAGCTACTCGGGAAGCTGAGGCATAAAAATCGCTTGAACCCCAGAGGCAGAGGTTGTAGTGAGCTGAGATTATATCACTGCACACCAACCTGGGTGATAGAATGAGACTCTGTCTCAATAAATAAATAAATAAAATAAGAAGGAAGAAAAGAAAGTTCAAAGACCTGTAAAATTCCAGAAGAGGAAGGAGATCTCTTTGGAATGAAGTTATCAGTGGTAAAGAAGAAACAAACTTTTCAATGAGCCCTTAAGTCTGGTAAGAAACATAACAGGGGACAGGAGATAAGGGGAAGGTATGAAGGCCATTTTTAGGATTAAGGTTTTATAGAATTCTTTTAAAATCTTTAAATTGGCTGAATGTGGTGGCTCATGCCTGTAATCCCAACACTTTGGGAGGCCAAGGGGGACAGATCACGAGATCAGGAGTTCAAGACCAGTCTGACCAATATGGTGAAACCCCGCCTCTACTAAAAATACAAAAAAAATTAGCCAGGCACGGTGGTGTGCACCTGTAGTCCCAGCTACTCAGGAGGCAGAGGCAGGAGAATTGCTTGAACCTGAGAGGTGGAGGTAGCAGTGAGCCAAGATCACGCCTGGGAGACAGAGGGATACTCCATCTCAAAATAAAATAAAATAAAACATTAAAAAAAAAATGAAAACTTTAAATTTTTTTTTTTTTTTTTTTTTTTAAATGCTCCTTGCAGAGCAGGGTTAACCCTTAGGCAGTGTAACCAGAGTAGCCACATTTTACAGAATGTTTTCAAATTGAAATATTGAATGGTTAAATATGAGTTGGTAGCCAGGCATGGTGGCTCATGCCTGTAATCCTAGCACTTTAGGAGGCCAAGGCAGGAGGACTACTTGGGCCCAGGAGATCAAGACCAGCCTGAGTAAAAATTAAAAAAAAAAAATTAGCCAGGCATGAGCCTGTGGGCTGGGTGCCTGGGGTCTTAGCTACTCCGGAGGTGGAGATGGGAGACAGAGAATCACTTGCCCCCAGGGAGGCTGAGGCTGCAGTGAGCCGTGACTGCACCACTGCACTCGTTTGTACAACAGAGAGGCCCTGTCTGAAAGAGAAAACAAAAGAAGGCAGGGGCAATGGTGCAGTGGCTCATGCCTGTAATCCTAGGACTTTGGGAGGTTGATGCAGGCAGATCACCTGAGGTGAGGAGTTTGAGACCAGCCTGGCCAAACATGGTGAAACCCCATCTCTAATAAAAATATAAAAATTAGGTTGGGCGTGGTGGTTCATGCCTGTAATCCCAGCACTTTTGGAGGCTGAGATAGGCAGATCATGAGGTCAGCAGTTCAAGACTAGCCTGGCCAACACAGTAAAACTCTGTCTCTACTAAAAATACAAAAATTAGCCGGGTGTGGTGGTGCGCGCCTGTAGTCCCAGCTACTCGGGAGGCTGAGGCAGGAGAATCCCTTGAATCCAGGAGGCGGAGATTGCAGTGAGCTGAGACCACGTCATTGCACTCTGTCCTGGGTAACAGAGTGAGACTTCCTCTCAAAAAAATAAAAATAAAAATATAAAAATTAGCCAGGCATGGTGGTGCACACCTGTAGTCCTAACTACCTGGGAGGCTGAGGCAGGAGAATCACTTGAACCCAGGAGGCGCAGGTTGCAGTGAGCCAAGATCGTGCCGCTGCACTCCAGCCTCCAGCCTGGGCAACGCAGTGAGACTCCATCTCTTAAAAAAACAGAAACAAAAAAAAAAGAGTGGGTGACATCAAAGCCCTTTATTTAATTAATTAGCTTATTTATTTAGAGACAAAGTTTTGCTCTTGCTGCCCAGGCTGGAGTGCAATGGCGCAATCTCAGCTCACTGCAACTTCTGCCTCCCAGATTCAAGCAGTCCTCCTGCCTCAGCTTCCTGAGTAGCTGGGATTACAAGCGTGCGCCACAATGCCTGGCTAATTTTATATTTTTAGTAGAGATGGGGTTTCTCCATGTTGGTCAGGTTGGTCTCAAACTCCTGACCTCAGGTGATGCACCTACCTCAGCTTCCCAAAGTGCTGGGATTACAGGTGTCAGCCACTGCACCCAGTCATCAAAGCCCATTAAAGCAACCCAGAATTTTTTTGTTTTTTTCTCTTAAGAACTATTTAAGAGTATCTTATTTACTGTCAATTAACATTCTGGTTCCTTGAACAGCATGGCATAGCGATAAGAGGGAAAAACAAAGGATCTGAATCCAGAATGAGTAAGCAGGAATCACTGCTTCTGGCTACGCCTAGACTGTATAGTCCGGCAGAGAATAAACTTCCTCACTCACTCAAGAGTTGTTGAGAAGATAAAGCTAGATTACACAAAGCTCCCAGGACAGTGCCTTGCACATGTGGTGGGCAATCATCAATAAATATTTCTTCCTCCCCAATCCCTACTCACCCAGACTAGGCATTTAACAAATCGTTTGTGAAAAAATGGGACAGATGTGGTGGATCACACTTGCAACCCCAGCATTTTGGGAGGTCAAGGTGTGAGGAACTCCACTTGAGGCCAGGAGTTCAAGACCAACCTGGGCAACAGGCAGGTTGTGTATTTCTTTTCTTTTTTTTGAGACAGAGTCTCGCTCTGTCGCCCAGGCTGGAGTGCAGTGGCGCGATCTTGGCTCACTGCAACCTCCGCCTCCCGGGTTCAAGTAATTCTCCTGCCTCAGCCTTCCGGGTAGCTAGGACTATAGGTGCATGCCGCCACACCCAGCTAATTTTTTGTATTTTAGTAGAGACGGGGTTTCACCGTTTTGCCCAGGCTGGTTGCAAACTCCTGAGCTCAGGCAATCCACCTGCCTCAGTCTCCCAAACTGCTGCGATTACAGGCATGAGCCACCATGCCTGGCCTTTTTTTTTTTTTTTTTTTTTTTTGAGACAGTGTCTCTGTTGAACAGGCTAGAGTGCGGTGGCACCATTATAGCTCACTGTAACCTTAAATTATCGGGCTCAAATTATCCTTCCACCTCACCCTCCAGAGTACAGAGTAGCTGGGACTCTAAGCGTCAACTTGACAATTTTTTTTTTAGCAGGAACACAATTTGATAAGAAGAGAACTGCAGCCATAAAAAAATGAAATCACATCCACTGCAGCAACACAGATGGAGTTGGAGGCCACCATTACCCTAAGTGAACTAACTCACAAACAGAAAACCAAATACTGCATGTTCTTACCTATAAGTGGGATGGAAATAATAGACACTTGGGACTCCAAAAAGAAAGATGGGGAAGAGAATGAGGGTTGAAAAATACAATGTTCAGACACAGATACAATGTTCTGTATCTGTTCTGTCAGATACAAGGTTCACTGTGCGAGTAATGGATACAATAGAAGCCCAATCCCACCAGTACACAATATACCCATGTAACAAACATGCCCATGTACTGCCTGAATTGAAAATTAAATAAAAATTTTTTAAAAAAAGAAAAGAATTACTTGCCCTCATCCCTTGAAATTATGAAGAGAGGTTTCTTATAGTTTCTGAGGCAGTAAATAAAAAATTCTAAGAATGATGTAATTCTTACCCTTCTGTAAATCTTCCTTAAGTGACTTGACCTGCAAAAGCAGAGGGCTGAAAAAGAAAGCAACAGAGAGTTGGGATACCGTGAGCAGTAACTCCCTAGCATCCTTCATCCCCTACAAAAGGCAAATAGGTCACTCTGGACAGTCTGTGACTTACAGCACAACAATGAGAGAAAGCTCCCTTAGAAACAAAGAAACTCCGTATGCACCAAAGGAAATGGATAAACGCTACACAACCCTTCAGTTGTCATCTCAGCTTTAAAACCAGAAAGAGGCCAGGCACAGTGGCTCATGCCTATAATCCCAACACTTTGGGAGGCCAAGGCGGGTGGATCATCTGAAGTCAGAAGTTCGAGACCAGCCTGGTCAACATGGCGAAACCCTGTCTCTATTAAAAATATGAAAATTAGCCAGGTGGGGTGGCCCACACCTGCAGTCCCAGCTACTCAACAAGCTGAGGCAGAAGAATCGCTTGAACCTGGGAGGCAGAGGTTACAGTGAGCCGAGGTCACACCACTGCACTCCAGCCTGAGTGACAGAGTGAGACTCTGTCTCTTTAAAAAAAAAAAAAAGGTTGGGCATGGTGCGGTAACTCGCACCTGTAATCCCAGCACTTTAAGAGGCCAAGGCAGGCGGATCACGAGGTCAGTTGTTCGAAACCAGCCTGACCAAATGGTGAAACCCCATCTCTACTGAAAATATAAAAATTAGCCAGGCATGGTGGCGTGCACCTGTAATCCCAGCTACTCAGGAGGCTGAGGCAGGAGAATGGCTTGAACCCAGGAGGCGGAGGTTGCAGTGAGCCGAGATCACACCATTGCACTTCAGCCTGGGTGAAAACATAAAACAAAAAAAAACGGCTGGGTATGGTGGCTCATGCCTGTAATCCCCAGTGCTTTGGGAGGCCTAGCAGGGTGGATGGCTTGAGACAAGCCTGGCCAATATGGTGAAACCCCACTCTCTACTAAAAAATACAAAAATTAGGCCAGCTGTGGTGCCTCATGCCTGTAATCTCAGCACGTTGGGAGGCCAAGGCAGGTGGATTACCTGAGGTCAGGAGCTCAAGACCAGCCTGGGCAACATGGTGAAACCCTGTCTCTATTAAAAATGCAAAATTAGCCGGGCATGGTGGCGCATGCCTCTAATCTCAGCTACTGGGGAGGCTGAGGCAGAAGAATCACCTAGGCCTGGGAGGCAGAGGTTGCAGCGAGCTGAGATTACACAACTGCACTCTAGCCTAGGTGACACAGCTAGACTCCATTTCAAAAAAAAAAAAAAAAAGGAAGAAGGAGGAACGGACAACTTTTGAAAAATTATTTGTTGATCAAATCCTAGAAGGCGTGAGCTTTTTTTTTTTTTAAAGACAGGGTCCCAGTATGTTGCCCAGGCTGGTCTCGAACTCCCGGGCTCAAATGACCTACCCCACCTCAGCCTCCCAAAGTGCTGGAATTACAGGCTTGAGCCACCACAGTATGAACATTTTGAAAGGCAAAGAGAGTTATCTGCCCTTCAAATCCCTTGGACATCATTTGGAAACAGTGAATTGCCCAGTTCCATGGATCCTAAGAGACACTCACCTGTATTCATCGTTGGGGTGTGCAATCTCTACAATGTCTCCAAGCTTGATGTGAGGAAACACTTTGGGGTTCACAACTAGCTCATCATCTGAAAGACAATTCAGCGACTTTAAGTAGAAAAACACTCATTAGGTACATTGTGTATGTTCTCATTACTGGTTCCTCACAACCCTATCAGGATAGTATTGCCACCCCATTGACAGATGAGGCTCTATTTTGAAATGAGGCTTACAGTGACTAATGGATTCACACAGGAACACCAAGAGCAGTGGAGTCGGATGGTGCTCAGGTACCTTTGTCTCCATACTCCGTGCTCTCTCTACTACTGCACTGCTTCCAGGGACAGAGTAGCCCGCAGTATCTGGGAATTAGGCTTCTGGACAGCCTTTTACCCCTTCAAATATTGTCTATCTGGCATATAACAGGAACAAAACAGGCTGGTTTCCATAGATACAGCACAATTCCTTACAGTTATTCAATGTTCAAAGAATTTCCCAAACAGTATCTTAATGTGACCCTCACAGTAAATCTTTAGATTTAACAGGAGTAAGAAAATAACCTCAGAGGGGCCAGGAGCAGTGGCTCACACCTGTAATCTCAACACTTTGGGAGGCCGAGATGGATGGATCACCTGAGGTCAGGAGTTCAAGACCAGCCTGGCAAACATGGCGCAACCCCGTCTCTACTAAAACTACAAAAATTAACCGGGTGTGGTGGTGGGCGCCTGTAATCCCAGCTACTTGGGAGCCCGAGGCAGGAGAATCACTTGAACCCAGGAGGCAAAGGTTACAGTGAGCTGAAATCACACCACTGCACTCCAGCCTGAGCGACAGAGCGAGACTGTGTCTCAAAAAAAATAAATAAAATAAAATAAGAGGGATGTGCTTTTATGTTTATCTACCCCTGCCCCTCTACCAGGGATGGGGAGAACTCTCTCAAATATTGCAAACTCAGAAGCATAAAGACAGAATGACTGTTTCGCTGTTTTAATTTGGGAGGAAAAACATCACTTTTAATTATGCTAATATCATGACAATTAAGTATATCTAGATTTCAAATATAACCAGATCCAACAAAAATTTAGCCTAATAAAATCAAATTGGTTACTCCCAAATTCTTGTTTTGTTTTCTTTTAGAGATAAGGTCTTGTTGTTGCCTAGGCTGGCGTACAGAGGCTATTTATAAGGACAATCCCACTGTTGATCAGCACAGGAGTTTTGACCTGCTCTGTTCCCAACCTGAGGTGGTTCACATTTCCTAAGGCAACCTGATGGTCCCCCACTCCTGGGAGGTCACTAGACTGACACAGAACTTATTTCAGACACCCAATCAACATAATGTCCTATGGTCTGAAACTCCTGGGCCCAAGTGATCTTCCTGTCCCAGCCTCTTGAGTAGCTGTGACTACAGGCACACCCCACAGCACCCAGCATCCCTAATTTTATCTGCTATGTTTCCACCGACAGTTTCACGACAAATCCTCCGTTGAGCTTCCCCCTAATTTACACAGTCTCAATTAAGGTCCCTGAGAATACATTCCCTTCTGCTTGGTTTTATCATTTCCTTTTTACATGTCTGTCTTACAAAACTGAAAGCTCTTTAGGGACAAAGAACCTTGCGGTATTCATAATCATTGCGTCTGGCACAGGTATACACCTAATAAATATCTGTTGGTTGTTTCTTTTTTATTATTTTTATTTTTATTTTTAAAGACAGGGTCTTGCTCTATTGCCCAGGCTGTGCAGTGGCGTGATCTTGGCTCACAGTAACCTTTGCCTCCTGGGTTCAAGCAGTTATCGTGCCTCAGCCTCCCTAGTAGCTGAGATCACAGGCACGCACTACGACACCTGGCTAAGTTTTGTATTTTTAGCAGAGATGGGGTTTCACTATGTTGGCCAGGCTAGTCCTGAACTCCCGACCTCATGTGATCTGCCCACCTTCGCCTCCCAAAACGCCAGGATTACAGTCATGAGCTACCATGTCCAGCTGTTAGTTGTATTTTGATCTATAGTTGCGGAAGACTGGATACAGCATCTAGCTACCTTTGTATTTTATACATAAAAATACGTATTTGTACACATTGTATATACTGTATCCTCCTCTCTGCCAAAAGTTATGTTTTATCCCACTCCACAAATACTTAGGCAATATCAACAGCATACAAAGTAATAACAATAGACTGTACATTTTAGCAGAAATTGTAGTTTAAATATAGCAATGCCTGTAGTCTGGTAATTATAACAGCTACATTTATTGAGCACAGAGTCTAATACTCTGCTAAATGCATTACATGCACCACCTTACTTAAGCTTCACAAGGCTCTATGATAAACTATTGTTTTCCCTTTTTGGCAGTCCTTCCCCTCTGGAGGCTTGTATCTACATAATGCAGAAGTAAATACACCCTAAAACACAACATTAAAAAGACTCATGTGGGGCGTGGTGGCTCATGCCTGTAATCCTAGCACTTTGTGAGGCCGAGGCGGGCGGACTGTCTGAGCTCAGGAGTTTCTGACCAGCCTGGGAAACATGGTGAAACCCTGTCTCTACTAAAATACAAAAAAAAAAAAAATAGCTGGGCATGGTGGCATGCACCTGTAATCCCAGCTACTCGGGAGGCTGAGGCAGGAGAACTGCTTGAACCTGGAAGGTGGAGGTTGCAGTGAGCTGAGATCATGCCGCTGCACTCCAGTCTGGCGACAGAGTGAGACTCTGTCTCAAAAAAAAATAAATAAGTCAATAAATAATAAAATAAAATGACTCATTATATTGTTAACTCCAATTTCTGAATAAGGCTGTTAAGACAGAACGGAAAATTACTCCCTCACAAAAGATAAAAAAATTATACTAAGTGCCCTTTTATTCTTCAGCTTTATGGACTCAAGGTGCTAAGGAGAGCTGGGTACAGTGGCTCATGCCTGTAATCCCAACTACTAGGGAGGCTGAGGTGGAAGGATCCTTTGAGCTCAGGAGTTCCAGACCAGCCTGGGCAAATGGGGAACCATGTCTCAAAAAAAAAAAAAAAAAAAAAAGAAAGGAAAGGAAAAAAAAATAGATGTTAAGAGAAACTATTCTAAAGCCCTTCAACTTTCAGATAAGGTACACTAGGAGCTTGTTCAAGGTCACCAGGAAAATCAGAAGTAATTCAGACTATAGTTCAGTGCAGGATACCATGCTGTATCCTGCCCCTTCTTCCCATGCCTAGAAGCCAAGCAAAAGTTCATGCTTTGATCATACCTGCTCTGTGCACATCTACGCTGCTTCTCTCTCACTCAATGTAAAAACTGATATATGGTTTTAGTTTCTCTTACCTGCCAAACCAGTGCAGGCTGGAATTTTATGGAACATACACGGAAGATTTGTAATAAACAATGCAATTCAACAAATGAAAGGTAGTAAACCGGCAGCATTCATAATGTTCCTTAAAAGTCTGAATGCAAATGCATTTGGAAGGGTCCTGCCATCCTCCTTGTTGCTTTGTCTGTTTAGCCTCAATTGTCACGAGTCAGTGTGTAATTTCAAGGCATTGCACACACCAGAACCTCAGCCAACTTACAAAACCTCTAAAGACCAATCGATACTGACCACTGCCCCCAAAGCCCTTCTTGTGGATGACGAGTTTGTAGACCTTTGTTGTTCTCATCTTGCACTGTTTTTCCCTTTAGCTGTTCCAAGCTTGGGGCAGAGAAGTCATCTTGCCTCCCTGCCATTGAAATACAAACAAAAAGGTTGGAAAGTCAGACTTTTCCTTGCAACCACTCTTTGATTTTAGGCCAGTGAAGATACTGGTGTTGCTCTGCTGTGAAGCGGTGCCAAGCGACTCTTGGATGAAGTCACTTCTCCAGTTACAAGGAGCTATGGAGAACAAACAGAACCACAGAATCCAAGAACTAAGGGGAATTCACGCCAGGGGCTAGTCAAACCTAGGAGAAGGTATTCTATCACACCCCTAAAGGGGAAGCATTGCGGTGAATGGGTACTCATTACCTTGTCTCCATCTACATCAATAATACCCGAACATTAAAGACATCTTAAAAGAAGTTAGCCCACTCATTTTGTAGATGATGAAAGTGTGAGTCACGGCAAGGGACTTGCTCAAGGTCACCTGAGACTTAGAGATACTCCCACCATCCTCATTTTGCTGCCAATGTCCTGAGCAAGGCGACCACAAAGAGGAAGGCTGGAGTTCCTTCCCCAAACCTCGGTCTGTGTGAACTCTCAGCGTACCTTCCCTGACTCCATTTCACAGCTGAGGCCGCTGAGGCTCAGAGAGGGAGAGAGACTTGTCCAAGGTCACACAGCGGATTGGGAATGAGGCCCAGGACTCGAACCTGGGCCAAGGCCCCCTACCTCAAGCCCCCCTCAGTCCCGAGTCTGGGGCGGGCAGCTCCACTCACCGAAGCTCTGGAGCCCCTTCCCGCCTCTGGCCGGGGCCCCGAGGGCTGGACCCTTTCCAGGTTCCCCGCGCCTCCTCCAGATACCCCGCCTACGCCCTCGCGGCCCGCGCTGCTTCCGCCCCTGAGCCTGAAGCGCCTGCAAGGCCCGCCCTGACCGTGTAGCGCTCACCTGAGAACCCGCGCCGCTCCGGTGGCTCCGCCCCGGGGCCCCGCCCCCTTCCCGCCCTCGCTCCCGCGCGCCGCTCTCGCCGGGCCTCCGTCTCGTCTCTGTGGCCGCGCCACTTCCTCATCCGGGGCTTGAGTCGGAGGCGGGGTGTTGCGTGCGGCCTCTTGCTTGGGCCACCTCCTGGCGTTTCCTGCCCTCGAGCCCTAGAGCCTCCCGCCCCACGGAGGAAATCAATTTCCTCCCAGTCTATCCGAAATAGACCCATGGCCACAGAGCTTCGTTTGCGACTTAGTGATCTCCCCGTAGGGGAAACGAGATCCCTCAGAGCTCCATTTTCTGTTACATGAACGAGGTTAATGACGCCTGTGGCCTCACTGGGCTGCTAAGAGGCGCCAACGAGAGTTTCTGGGAGGACTTCTGTAAAATGCAAGGGGCCGAGCACGCGAGAGTTAGTGTGATGGCCCCCGCTGGGAAGTGTCCACTTACCGGGGACTTTTCAAACCCTTAAACTCCAAAGGACGTTCTGCGCCCCTCTGGTATTTTAATAAGAATGGCTGCCTGCCTTCACAGTCCTTATGTAATCATTGCATCCCTATTACGTGATGGATGCAGGAGGCAGATACTATCCTATTTCACAAACCGGGAAACAGCCTGAGGACACAAAACCCTTCAGAAGGAAGCAAGGACGAATCCTGACCCGCTCCCAGAACGGAGCCTTTAACCAACATCCTTTGGTCATTCCCAGGGCACAGCCTAAACTTGAATCTGTCAGGATATCTTTCTTTCCAAGCAGAAAACCAGAGAGCTGGGTGGGCCGGGTCAGGCTCTCGCCGAAGGCTCCTGACAATTGCCAGCTCCGCCTGCTGCCACTGATACCCCCGCCCCCAAGTCCAGTCCACCGTTTCTGACCTGAGCGGCAGCAACTCGATAGGACCTCCCTGCTTCCCCTCTTGCAGCCCGAGAGATCTTATAACTGGAATCAGTGTCTCGGTCACGCCACTCCTCTGCTGCTTCTAATCACACTGACTGCTAAGTCTAAACGACACAGCACTTGTCTTACATTTCTTTATATCTTTAATACTTACGGTGCCCGTTTCTTACGGATTTGGGAAACTTAAAAATGTTGAAAGAAAAACCATGGTATACCGTAGTGAAACATTCTACAGTGGACCAAGGGGACCCTGGGACAGGACAAGCAACGTTCTTAAGCATGGATGCCTTTACGTTGGGACTCAGGAGAAGTTAGGTAAATAATGCAAGTATTAAGTAATTGCGATTTGTTTTTTTTTTTTTTTTTTTTGAGATGAGGTCACCCTCACCCAGGCTGGAGTGCAGTGGCACGATCTTGGCTCACTGCCATCTCTGCCTCCCCCGCTCATGGGATCCTCCCACCTCATCCTCCTAGTAGCTGGAATTACAGGTCCGTGCCCAGCTAATTTTTGTGTTTTTTGTAGAGACGGGGTTTTGCCATGTGGCCCTGGCTGGTCTCAAACTCCAGGGCTCAAGCAATCCGTTTGCCTTGGCCTCCCAAAGTTCTGGGATTACAGGCATGAGTCACTGCAGACAGGTTTTATTTTTTTCTTTCCGAGACAGGGTCTAGCTCTGTTGCCCAGGCTGGAGTGCAGTGGTGCTATCATAGCTCACTGCAACCTCAATCTCCTGGGCTCAAGCGATTCTTCTGCCTCAGCCTCCCAAGGGACTGGGAACTACAGGGCAAGCCACCACTCCTGGCTAAAATTATTTATCTTGTAATAAAACATATATGATAAAGTGGATTGCAACAGTTACAAAATTTTTTAAGAATAACAATGTTATGTTTAAAAATGTTTCTATGTTGCCACTTCAGGAGACACACCCAGATCCCCCAAGATAGTTTCTGTCTTTAGAGACAGTGGTTGATGGGACATTCTTCCATCTCAGAAGAAGCTAATAGAATTCTCTCTTCTTAGCCCTCAAGGGAGTTTTATTCCGTCTCCTGAGAGATGTCCATAATGGGACGTCTTAAAAAGGCAAATATTTTAACTATTTACTTTGGCAACTCTCATAAACTCTGAAGGCCAGGAGCGGTGGCTCAGCACTTTGAGAGGCTGAGGCGGGCGGATCACTTGAGGTCAGGAGTTCGAGACCAACACGGCCAACATGGTGAAACCCCATCTCTACTAAAAAATACAAAAATTAGCTGGGCATGGTGGCATGTGCCTGTAATCCCAGCTACTCAGGAGGCTGAGGCAGGAGAATCTCTTGAACCCAGGAGGCAGAGGTTGGGAGGCAGGGGTCACAGTGAGCCGAGATCCTGCCACTGCACTCCAGCCTGGTGACAGAACGAGACTCCGTCTCAAAAAAAAAAAAAAAAAAAAAAAAGAGAAGAAAAAGAAAAGAAAACAAAAGAAACTTTGAATCGTTCAGATTTTTTTTTTTTTTTTTTTTAAAGAGACAGGGTCTTGTTTTCTTGCCCAGGCTGGAGTGCAGTGGTGGTACCATCATAGCTTAATGCAGCTTCAAACTCCTGGGCTCAAACAGTCCTCCTGCTTCAGGCTCCCCAGTAGCTAGGAGCACAGGTGCATCAACATCTGAGCAATTTTTGTTTTGTTTTGAGAAAGAGTCTTGCTGTGTCACCCAAGCTGGAGTGCAGTGCCATGATCACCGCTCACTGCAGCCTCAACCTTCCAGGCTCAAGTGATCCTTCTGCCTCAGCCTCCAGAGTAGCTGGGATTACAGACACACATCACCAGACCCAGCTGTTTGTTTCTTGTTTGTTTGTTTGTTTGTTTTTTGGCAGAGACGATGTCTCACTGTGTTGCCCAGGCTGGTCTCAAACTTCTGGGCTAAAGTACTTCTCCCGCTTTCGCCTCCCAAAGTGCTGGGATTACAGGCGAGAGACACGGCGCCTGGTCGAGTTCTATTTTTTAACACAAAGCTGTATGATTTGGAGCAAGTCGATTTCATTCTCTGTACCGCCTCAATTCTTTCCCTGGATAAACATTTCTTCCTTCCTTCAAATGTCTGTCGAGTGTCTAGTTTTGTGCTGGACACTGCTGTTGGTGCTGAGCATTAAGTGATGAACAAAACAGACAAGGTGGAGGAAGATAAATTATAAACGAGTCAATAAAGAGATGAGACATAGAAATTTCAGCTAGTGTTAAAGATATGAAGAAAATAAAGGTTCTGTAACCAACTAGAGGCAGGGGTGCCGTTTATTTAGCGGTCACTGTGATGAGAAGCAGCAGAGGAGTGTCGTGACCCAAAACACTATTTCCAGTATAAGATCTCTCGGGCTGCCAGAGTGGAAGCAGGCAGGCCCTTAGAATTGTAGCCGTCCAGACTAGAAAAACGGTGGACTGGAACAGGGTGACAGCAGTGGAGGTAGGCACTGGGTCCTGTGGCTCAGCAGGAGCAGAGCCAAAAGTTGTGCTTCCCTTTAAGAATTTGAGTCGCTGGGCGGGGGTTGACGGAGGCTGGGGTTAGCAGAGGGCGGGAGGTCAGAAGCAGGAAGAGCCTCCCCTTGGAGTGCGCGCGCGCGGTGCGGGGGCGGGATTTGGGCGAGTCCGCATGGCTGGCTCGGGCCCCGGATGAGGAAGTGCAGGGGGACCATAGAGACGAAGAGGTGGCGGCGGCCGGAGCGCCCCCGGGCTGTGTCGGCTCTGTAGGCTCAGGTAGACTTGGCGACGACTGGGCTGCAGCTGCAGAGGCTGAGCTGGCTGGGCAAGCGCGGGCCGCGGAGCGGGTCTCAGGGTAAGAGGCCGGGGACTGGAAGGCTTCGGGCGTAGCCGCCCCGCCCCACTCCGCCCTAAAGGGACCCTCCGCCGGGTGGTGCTGGCTAAAGGGGAGTCCGGGCCCCCCGCCCTCTTGGGGCGCGGAAAGGAACCAAGGCTGCCCTGTGGGCGGCGGAACGACCCAGGGAGAGGGAGGAGACCAGGCCCCGCGTCGCTAGAGAGAAAAGCGGCTTCTCCAAGTCATGGCTCCGACGCGGGAGAGAGACTCCTCTTCAACCTCGATACGACAGGGATCCCCCAACTTATCTCCTCGCAGAGGACGACGCCCCTTATCGGAGGCGTACGCTCTTTCTTAGCGCTCATCCGTTGGTCAGCAGAGGGAGACCCACTCCCGGGGTTCGAGGGGCATTCTGAACTTATCCTGAGGAGGAGTAAGACATAACCCCTAAATGAGACCTTTCCCCCAACTTTGGTCAGCGTCCCCCAGGTGAAGAGTGAGACTCAACTTGCCTGAAAGTGACAGAGGGGATCTTTCTTCCCAGTAAGAAAGAGACTTACCTTCCTCGTTTATTTTTCACGTGTACCCCAAGATACGGAGAGGAAGACCCTGAAAATTTACTTTATGGTATCAGAAGTCAACCTTTCTCCCTCTCCCATCGCGATGTCCACAGAGGGAGCCTCGCTTCTCTTCTTCCCTTTAAGCCTCTTGGTGTGCAGTGAGCTCCTTTCCCTTGCACAATTAAGAGCATGGCTTTTGGAGTGTGATAGTTACAAACCTGGGTCTCTCACTTAACATCTTTGTGACCTTGACTATTTGTTTAACTTGTCTCAATCTCAGTCCATCTCCAATTTGGGTTCTGTTTTCTTAAAATTGTCATGCAGGCTAAGGGAGCATTTGTGTAAATACTAGTTACATAGTAAGCTTTTGGTAAGCTGTTGCTGTTACTGTTAACTTAATCTGTTAAAAAAGAAAATTAATATCTTGCACAGAGAAGCATATTTTTCCATGCGTGCCCCTCCCAACCCCCATCACAAGCGTTCGAGCATCCTTTCTCACTGGAGTGGAAGACTCCCTCCCACTTAGGGGTTAGAGAAAGAGACATTTCCAGTCCCCTTAGATCCTACTGTACAATACTCCCCCAAATTAACAAAGAGAGCATCAATGAAAATAATCAAGAAAAAAAGACTTAGCTTTTGGAAACAGGTCTGTCCTCTTAAGAGAAAGGGAGACCTGATGCCAGAAGCCAGCCCTTCCTTTGTCCACAGAA